CGGTTCTCCTTTTCTGCTGCTTATACCACTGCTCTTACCAACATCTACCCATAAACAGAAGCATTTATAGAGTAGGGGGGGTGTCACAGCCTACTACTTGAAGTCATTTCTCTGCTCTTCTTGCTTTGATGTAATGCACTATGCCTTCCACTGCTGACCACTTTCTTGCACTTGTTTCTCCTTTTCATTTCCATGTTCCTCTACGTGACTATTTATTTCTCCTCTATTGTAAAACAACACTGATAACTTAGGCAGATATTAAAAGTCTGTCTTGTCTTGGGTTTTTCCTGCTCATTGTGTGTGGATGCTGGTGCGGGAGCCTACCGTCTGGCTGGGGTTTCTCTGAGGATCTCTCCTCTCTCCCACCCCGCCTGTGTGTAGCACAGCCACGCTAGGACTTGTGTGGGTCACTTCACTTATTCCTTTGCCACCTTGCTATGTCCTGGGACAAAAGAGAGGTGACAACAGGAGTGAGGGGACAGGCAACAGTCTGCAGAAAAGGAGGATTTATTCATCCTGATCTGAACGATGATCTCTGTCTGGTTGCAGGCTCTCAGGAACAGGGCAGAATCTCCATTGAAAATACAGCAGAAATCCCAGGCTCTGATGGTTTTGCCACACTATTCCTAGCTAAGGATCCTGATGATCCCCTTCAATTTTCCCCTCTTGTCGGTGACAGAAGAGGTGCAAAGCAGCCCCTCAGACTGGGAAGTGCCTTAGCTATGCCACTTCTCCCGTTCTTGTACTAGCTTTAGCCTCTTCCGCAGTAGATCTCTTTTATGGGACAATAATGGATGGAAGAAACGACTTGGATATAATAAAAAGATTGAGCACTAGTAAGTGTAGAACCTCTCCATCTCCTCAGCCACAGGAGCATCCCCTCACTTCTCCAAAGAGCAAGCCCCAAGGATCGGCCGGAGGCCTGTGGTGAGGTCCCAAAGGATGCTCTGAAAGGGCACGCACCGAGCTCAAAAGGAGCCAGGGGTTCACAGTGTCCCCGGGATTTTAAGTCATTTGTTACACTGCCCGGTAGCCTCTTCAGGGTGCAACACGAACTTGTGGTTACAGCTGGTGCTGCTTTAATATCGTTAGCACCATTACTCCCGGGTATCTCTGGCTAGTGCTTCGTTGCTGGTAGCTGCTGGGAAGGAAACTGAACCCCTGTTGGCTGATGCCCAGACCGGGCAAAGCCAGGCCAGCCCTGCCTGCCCTTCACCAGGCAAGGGGCTGCCTTTTTCTCTTAACTGCTCACACACCCAGGCTCCTGGCCCCCACCCAATCCAGATAAGAAATGGCTGAAAATTGTTACTGTTAGCCGGCTATTCTGTGACCTGCACGAAAAGAGTGGAATGACCCCAGGACCAGTCTTAGCACACAGACCGCGGGCGGTGAGCAGCCCCAGTCCCCACACCCAGGGCTGGTGGGACCAGTATTTTCCCGGCGGCTGCTCCCCGCGGCGGGGAGGGGAGGCAGAAGCAAGCTGCTCCGCAGCAGCTCGGCTGGCTGCCTGCTGTGCTGGGGCTGTAACTAGATTTTTACGAGGTGTTAATGCAACAGTGAGTTGTTAGGGGTTGAAACCGACCCTTGGGCTGGCTGTTCTCTGCAAGGAGGGCCTGTGGTTAAGCTGCTGTTCGCTGGTGGGGCCATGTGGTGGTAGGAACAGGAGAAAGCCCTCTTCCCTTGGACTCTTATCCCTTGGTGTGTCCCTTGGCAGCGCTGGGGCTCTGACACAGCCACTTGCCCTGCAAGAAGGCCCAGCAATGCCCTCCCGCCGTGGAGATGCTGCAGGGCACCCTCCTGCCTGCTGCCCAGTGCTTCTTGCTGAGTGCAAGCCTACAAGCCCTTTCCTACAAAATTTCATTTTTAATAACGTGAAAAAAATTTGCACGGAGTGTAGCCACGGAGCTGAACCTGAGGTTGCCCACGAAGGGTGGCAGCATCACTTAAACACTGCAGTGCAATAATGCAAATTATGGCTCATTGCAAGGAACTATTTGCACCATGAGCTGAGCTTTATGGGTTTTGGGTAACAAGAAAAGCTTCAGCCTGAGCAACTCAAAATGCCAAAGGAAGAAACCGTGGTTGAAAACTGAAGGGTTCTTCCATCCCAGGGAGGCAGGCAGCTAATCCTGACACTATCCTCCAACTTGTTTCTGCTCCGTTAGACATGTCTGGTGACCTGTCAAGTGCTGCTCAGGAAAATGGGAACCTGTCGGTAGATGTAGATATGAGAGGTTTACAGAAGTGTGTTTTGTAGTTGCACATTGACAAGCCTGTGATTCCTGCGGCCTTGACTTGATGCTGCCTTTTTTTTTTTTTTTTTCCCCTTTTGCTTAATTCTCAGAATTCCTCAGCATATTTATTCTGCCTGAATCTGACTCTCCTGTAGCCCCATGCCTTAGGGTTGGGTTCGTGTCCTCCTGGGGAGCTGGAGTTTCCATTTTAGGCACTGAATTTCTAGTTACACACCTAAAGAGAAATGATGTGCTCATCAGAGACATTCCCCCTCCCTGCCACAAGTGTTTCGGGTGGCAGTTCAGGCAGGCACCCAGGTTTCCTGGAAGCTCCCACAGCAGCCCTTGGTTGATGGCAGCTAACCCAGACACTGGAGGTCTCACCATCACGTGGAGGTGGCTCCTGCGGGCAGGAGAAGCACCTGGCTGTGAAGGCAGATCTCTGGTGCTACTCTTGCTGCTTACAGGTGACTCCCACGGTCAGAAGGCTTTCCTCTCCAAGTCTTTGCTCTGGCACTATTTTGCATAAACGGGGCTGAGAGGTCCAGGTGTGAGCTTTTAGAGTCAGGAGTCTTCTGAACTTAATCCAAGCAGTCTTCAGGTGGCTGCTGAGGAGAACAGGAGTGAGCTGGGCTGGCTGAAGGTACCTGCTGTCTCTGCTGAAGAACCTACCTTGCATCCTCCCTACTGCTTTCTTAAAAGGGCAAAGTGATTCAGTGCCCCTCTCTGTGGTGTAGCCTCTTTAGCAGCTTGGTCTGAGAATCTGCTAGTGACTTGGGGTCACCACGGATGGGGAAAGTCGTCCCTCTGTCCATCTCATGTTTCTAAAACAGGCATACATCGTCCTCCCTGCACCCTCTTTCCCCTAAAGTGTTTGAAAGATTCATGACCACCTTGTTTTTTTCCGAAGTAAATTGTACATTCCTGGTTTCCCCCTATTTAGTTTCTACTGAAACATTGGCTGACAGTGTTAAGGTAACTTGTGATGCTAAGCTCTTTTTTTTTCCTAATATTGCTTAAGTGAAGACTATTCACAGCTAATTTCTTGCCAATACAGTTACAGCTGATGCTGCTTTAACGTTGCTGCAACAGAATCTTGGGTGATCCAATGAACCTAGTAACGATGCTGGGAGTTACTTGACCACGAGCCAAATATTGCTTTTGGAAATATAAAAATCATCAGTGCTCCTAAGGAAGGAAAACAAACACCCTGCCAACCAGTAGTAAACCATATGCATTCTGCCATAATGAGACACTTGTGCAGATAAACATAGCCGTCCCGATTTCTAAATTCTTTGGAAAAGATGGCATGCTGCTGTTTTAGGCTGAGAATTACTATGTGGGGGGGTCTGCATGGGTTTATGCCTGACAGTTTTTGGAGGTCACCTGTGAGGATGAAGCCCCTAAATCCCCACAGGGTTTAGGTACCATGTCATCCCCCCAGCCCACCACTTACCACCCAGGTCAGCCCACAGCTCTCACTCCTACCTGAGGGACTGCTGAAGAGCCATACAGGGCAAAACCTCTGCAAGCAACGTATTAAGCACTTGAATTCCCAGGGTCTTTCAAAGGGACTGTTTATTAGAGTAACTTTGATTAGGGAATGAACTTGAAGCACGGTAACTGTTGCTCTTCCTTGCAGGCTCCTAAATGCCACTTGCTGTTAGAACCTGCGTTTTTCCATGTTTGGGTTTGTTTTGTTTTTTTTTTTTTTGTTTGCCACATGGAATCATGTATGTGGAACACTCTTCTAGATCTGGATTACAGAGCACTCACTGCAATTACTGAATTTGGGACTGCTGAGTGATCACACTCCTGAGAAATTCTACCTTCCCAGTACTAAGGCAGCAGAGAGATTATACACACAGTCCCTGTAAAGTAGGTCAGTTTTAATGACCCTTCCTGCTTTGTGTTTGCTCAGCATATTCTATAGGCCAGCCCCTTTTGCTCCATTCAACTAGTAACACTCACTAGAGCTCTGTTCAGGGAAGGAACAGCCTCTGCTGTAGTTTTTCATGCCATCATCACGGTGCTTTGTTTTGCAGCAATCTGTCTTACCTCTGGCTCACCTCCACCGAAGCAGGTCTTCAGCAGGAGCCCAAAAGTAACAGACAGAGTTTAGGAGTCTCTGGCAATAGTCTCGAAGGACCAATTGATGTTTGCTTATTGCATTTAGATAAAGTATACGTGCACGCAGCTGAAGCAGTAGGTCAGTGGAACGCTGTTGGTTAGGTTAGGTGTGGCTTTTGAATTACAAACCTGTTCTTAGAGGTGCTGCTCCCCTGAATAAAGGCCCCCCAACCTAACTCCTGAGAGCAGCTGCCAGGACAAACAGACTTCAGACACCCAGTCCCTCCTCTCTCCTTACCTTCCCGTGACTCTCCCATCACTGTAGGCACAGGCAGCACAGCCTGCAGCACCTTCTGCATGTCCAGGAAAAGGAGTTACCAGCACCAAACCTGCCTTGCCTCCTATACACATCTGCATCTCCCCAGATATCATCTCTGCAGTACTCACACCAAGTGCTGAGTTCCTAAAACTTGAAGGGGGTGGGGGGGAAAAGGCAAGCCTGGAAGTTATGCTGTGCTGCTACTTATTCCCTTCTGCACCTGAAACCTGGTCCAGAACTGCTTCTCTCCTGTATCCCTCCATATTCCCCTCTCCCACCGTCTCAGGCAGAAGTTACCTTGGGCATTTCTGACAAATACACGTACCTTACAGCCCTGAAGTCATTTATAAATAGATTTTTATTTATAAAGTCAATTTACATAAAATACGATACTCTTTTAAAAACTGCATATGTACAACTTAAGAAATCCTAGCAAGTGCATACAAAAATGCCTTCAATACATCTTTAAAAAAAAAAAAAAACAAACTTCAGTTTTCAAAGAAGTGGACCTTCACACCAGACAAACTTGGACACCACGTTAAGACACAACATAACTTTACAGTCTTTTACTAAAGTGTTTGGAGAAAAAAAAAAAAAAAAACAAAAAAAAACACCAAAAAAACACAACGCTTTTTTTTTAATCTAAACCGTGTATGTTCCAAAAACATTCTAGCTGGCAGTGTTCAAGAACAAGGGAATAGGACTTGCTAAAAATAGAACCATCTCCTCACCCCTTTTCTCTAAGGTTTCTTGTACAAAAATAAGTCTTCATACACCAGTGTTCCCATAGGCAGTTCGAGTTACATATAAAATAGACTCTGACATGATAAAAAAATTCCCTCCCCCTCCAGAAACAAGGAAGCATCAAGTGGTTTTCATTTCTTTTTTTCCACCCCTCCAAAGCAACACCAGAAAGCAGCCGGGGGGTGGAAGCGGGGTCCCTCGGGCCTCCTCTCCGTCGGCAGCTCCGGGGGGGGGGGGGGCAAGCGGAGCCCCGGGGGTCATTTACACCATTGCACTTTCCACAGCCCGAAGACGACGGGTGAGCCCGGCGAGAAAAGCAGCCAGCGGGGTCCTGCCGGGGTATTTTGGGGGTTGGGGTGGGGTGGGGATGGGGATGCTGGCTGCTGCAGAGGGCGAGGGCGCTGAGGTGCTGCCGGCTGAACGAGGCTGCGGAGAGATGTGCAGAGAGCCCCGGTGGGTGCGCGTCCCGCCCGGGAGCTCCCCCCCACCCCCCGCCTCCATCCCCTCCGGTCCCCCTCACCTCCCGCCGGGTCAGCAGCTCCCCAGCCAGCTGGTGAAGTCCAGCAGCTCCCGCTCGTCGGGGCTGAGCGCCGCGTCGTAGCCGCTCTCCTCGGAGGAGCACGGCGAGCCGGGCACGGAGGAGGCGAAGGAGGGCGAAGCGGAGGAGTAGCCGCCGCCACCGCCGCCGCCTTCCCCGACGGCTGCCCGCCCGCGGCCGTCGGGGAAGGCGGCGGCGGCGTCGTGCTCGTCGAGGAGCCGCTGCAAGGCGCGGATGTACTCGACGGCGGAGCGGAGGGTCTCCACCTTGCTCATCTTCTTGCTGGCGGCGCCGTGGGGGACGTGCTGGCGGAGGGCGGCGAAGCCCAGGTTGACCAGCCGCACGCGGTTCCGCTCCCGCTCGTTCCGCCGGGCCACGGCGGCCGCCGCCGCCGCCCCGCTGCCGCCCGGCAGAGCGGCGAAGGCCAGGCGGCGCTTGCAGCGCAGCAGCTCGGGGGAGGCGGGACGGCGGCGGCAGCGGGGGGGGGCGGCGGCGGCGGCGGGGGGCAGCGGCGGCAGGGCCCCGCCGTTCATCGCCGGGCGGCCACGGCGGCGGCCGAGCGGAGAGCGCGCGAAGTAAAGGTGCAGTTTAAGAGAGGAGGGGCGGGATGTCAAAGTAAGTTTAAAAGGGAGAAAGGAGGGGGGGGGGGGGGTGGGGGGGAAGAAAGAGAAAAAAACTGAAAAAAAAAAAAATAGAAATAAAAAAAAAAAGCGATGCGGGGGCGTCCGTTCGCGCCGCCGCTCCGCGCCTCTGCGGCGCGCGCCGCCGCCGGCCGGGCCCTTATCAACGCGCCGCCGCTCGCGAGCCCCCGCCGGCCGCACGCGCCGCGCCCGCCGCGCCACGCGCGGCCCCCCCTCCCCCGCCCCCGCGCGCGCCCGGCGCGTGGCGCCGCCAAACCAACACACACCCCCCCACACACCCACCCCCCCCCCACCCCCCCCCGCGGGAACGGCGGGTGCGCGCCCGCCCCTCAGCTCGCGGCGCCTGCCTGTGCATCACCGCTTCTAGTTTTCTATTTTTCATAATTTTTTTTTTTTTTTTTTAATTTCATGTTTATTACCGGTCGGGGGAGGGGCTCCCCTCTCGCCCCGCCTCCCCCCCCTTAACTCCTGTTCCCCCCTCCCCGTGTGTCACACACACTCCCCCCCCCCCCCCCCCCCCAAACCGGGGGCACCGCGTGGGTGACCGTGTCACAGAAAGACACCGGGGTGGGAGCCGGGCACCCGAGGGGCACACCGCCGCTCTGCTTGGGCACATGCACCCAAAAACTAAAAAATTTTTTAAAAATATGAATTTATAGCAGTTGCGTAAGTCACTTTGCAGAGGCCGATCGCTGCGGGCCAGCTCTTCGGGCTTAAAGGAGAGTTTTGAGGGTAAAGGCGTGGAGCGGAGAAGGAAAATGCAAAGGTTTTAGGGTTCCCGGTGCCGTGGCCCCCCCCGGGCCGCCCTGCCGCTGCTACGGCGGGCAGAGCAGCGGGGCAGGGAGCGTTCGGAGACCTCGCAAAGCTGGGCTGTCCTGGGGGCTTTGCTCCTGCCCAGCCTTTTCCCAAAATAACAAACCCCACGAAAACGACGCGATGCTAAAACCTCCCCGGCAGATCCCTCCGCTGGCTCCGGCCCTCTCTGCCTTGGCCCCTTGGCCCCTCGGCGCGACAGGAGGCCGAGGGGGGCTCAGCTACCTGCGGGTTTGCAGCAGCAGCCGGTAATTAGAGCTAATTGCCTTCTGCAGGGTCTCCCTCCACCCAGAGGTGTGCGGGCAGGGGGATGGTTTGGGGCTCGGGGTTTTGGAGGGGAACGCAACCCCCTCGGCAGGAAGATGCTCGCAGCCGGTGCCCCCGGCAGCACCTTGGTGGCCGGGATGCGTGGGTGCCGGCGGCAGGGCCGTCACCGCGCGGGCGGGTGCCAGCGGGGCCCTGCAACGCCTTTCGGGCACGGCAGTGAGGAGCTGAGTGCCCCTGGCCACCCCAAACCCCTCTGGTGCCGCTCCCCGGGGCATCTCCAAGCCAAAAAGAGTCCTACAGAGAGCCGACCGTGATTTCTAGATGGGACACGGAGGCGGGTTGTTTTCTACCTACTCTTTAGGGAGCAGCCACCTGAAGAGGGGGTCCTGGGAAAGGCGGGAGAGCTGCTTGCACCCAGAAATGTGCGCGAGCGGCCCCGGGATGGCTCGCTCCCCTCAGGCCCTGTCACGCTGGCGCTTGTCTGCAGCATCTGCAGAGCTGCCGTGGCGGGCACAGGGGCTTCCCTTCCCTCCGTGGCGACAGCAGCTGAGGCACAAAGGGCAATACTGCAGTGGAGTAGCATCGCTGGTCTTTTATTACCCAGTCTCTAACTTCTGATGCAAGCTTTTCTCGCTGGAAAGAGGAAGCTGCTGCCTTTGAAGCTTTCCAAGAGAAACCCTTCTGTATCAAAGAGCCACGCTCAAGAGTAATAGCTGGATTTTTATCATACAAAAATAACTACAGGGATTTTTTTTTTTTTTTTTCATTAAGAACGCACAGTTCAAACAGCAGTGAAACCAGCCTCAAGGGAGAGCGTTCAGCCTCCAGCCCCAGCGATTCCACGCTCAGCTCAGGGGTGAACTTGCCTTGTCCAAGCTGGCTTCGGGGCTGCCGATCGCAATGCGCATTTCCAGCCAGGTCTGGGCCTGAGCCCAGCACAAAGCAACTGCTGCTGCTTTCTTAACAATACAACCGGTTTCCTGGTAGTCTGAAGGAAGGTAGGTACCTCTTCTGCTCTGAGAAACGTAATCTTATTTGAAATCTCTTTATGAAGCTAATGACTATGTAAGATCCAGTCGAACAAGGCATCATTAAACACTGTCTGTGTTCACAATCAACTTCCTGATCGTAATCTGGGAAGAAAGAGAGCATCCAGCAATGTGCTACCCATCCCCAGAGGGTGGGGGAAGAATTTCTCCTCTCCTGGCACAGGTAAGGCAACAGCGGGGTGGGTGCGTGGACAGCTGGCAGCCCCGCGTGGCTTCGGCCAGCGCCGTGCAAGGTGGCCGAGTTCTGCTCGGAGCAGGGGGAACTCCGCAGTGAAGGGCCTCCGAGCCCTGACACTGTGTCTTATTTCTTGCATCTGCCCGAGATGAGGGACAAACTCTCCCGCCTGATTTGGGGCGTGGGACGGTGGGAAGGCGGCAGGCGAGGTGCTGGCTCAGGCCCGCCATTGACCCATGCGTTACAGGCGGCTGACACGAGCTTTTTAATTTAATTTTTTCCAAAACTTCCTGGACCTCAGTGGGAAGCAATAGAGGTCACATTACCGTAAAGCTCAAGAGGACAAATGCCTGAAATAAATGGCGATGGGCAGTCGGGGATCCCTGTTCTTGGTGAGCAGGTGAATCCCTGTTTGCCAGGCTGATTGCACTGGTTTTGCTGGGAGCAGGGTGAGAGTTGTGTCTTCATGTCTATCACTTTCACACCTGTCTCCTGAGCAGTTATGGTTTGCAACTAGGTACCACATGGAAAAGAAAAAAAAAAAAAATAGTTTAAGTAGGGGGGGTGTGCTTCAGAGCTATGAGTACAGTTGTTTCACTTTTGGGGAGGGAAAGAAGTTTGAGTTCATTCTTTGAGGGGAACTCCCTGGCTTCATCTTATGCTCATTTCAAATGTGATCTTTCTTGGGCTTGATGAACTCTTTTTAATAACTCTTCTGACATTTTTTTGCTCATCTATAATTAATTTCAAAAGGCCTGGGAATCACTGGATGATTTCTAAGATAGAATTTGGAAATAATAATAAATGAAAAAGTCCTTTGGAGATTTTATGATTTCTCTCTGGTTTTGTTTCTTCCAAGGCAGCCGCTGGCCAGCCTTGTTTCCATTCACAGCGGAGTTGTATGGTGCATCTGAAGCTTGGCAAAGCACCTCCCCCCTTTTCTCCTCTCCTTCCCTTCTTGAAAAGAGGCAGCCCTGGGTTTAAAAGTTGATTTTTAGCTTTGATTGTGCGTATGTACTATATGAATGCTAAGCAGCCTTTACAATGCATCCTTGTGATGCGCCCGGGAAGGCAGACGCGGGCTCTGAGGTCTCCCTGGCTCCGGTGCGGCTTGATATGGGCATGTTTTATTTACGAGCGTGCTCCAGGGTGAATATAGATGTGTTACGGGCAGTAGCTGAGGAACTGAATGGGCTGAGCCTGTGACACGTGTAAATCTGCCACATTTGGAGCTCTTTTTCTCCGTGGAAGAGAGGCGTTCTCTCTAACAGCGGTGTGGATGGCAAAGGAGGAGGCTCCCGAGAGGCACGGATGTGTCCTGCCTGGACCACGGGTGTAGTTTTGCCTCCTGGGGCAACCTCCTCTCCGCTGCCTCCAGCCCATCTTTTTGTGGGAGCACGAGTAGCAGCGCCCCAAAGCTGAGTGGGGGGGAGATTTCTCTTACCTGCTGTCTGGCTGGAGTTCAAGCAGCTGGGGCTGAGGTGCTGCTGTTGCATCCCTGGTGGCTGCACCGACGGAGCGAGAGCCAGAGAAGTGGATGACGAGAAAGCACTAGCATGAATTCAGCCTCTTCTCCATTTATGTTTAGTCTCCCAAGTTCGCCCCATGCAGCGTTAACGCATCAAACACCCCAGCTCTTTTAGGACACCCACCTGACAGTGTGGGCAGCGTTTACCTCCAGCTCGGAAGAGGGTTGGAGGTTTTCAGCTCTGCAAAAAAAACATGATCTGGCTTTGTTCCCTTTTTTTAAATCAATCCTGTCCTTCTGGACAAGGTGGCACGTCCTTCCGGCACTCGTGCAGCTGGGGATGCCGATATGTATTTTCACAGCCCGGCAGAAGGCTGCAAGCTGCCACGAAGCTGAAGGAAGAGGGCACCTGGGCTCCCCCATGGTGTTTTCAGCCTCTCTACCTTCTTTCCACACTCCGGCTGATAAGCAGAGATAAGAGACGAAACCGCAGGTGGGAGCTGTGGTCACCTGTGGTTTTTGCACTGCATTTGAGGGCGATAAGTTGGGCTCTTGCAAAGAGGACCAACTGATAAAAGGCAGCAGGGTGAGCAGGAGGCCGAGTCTTGCTGGAAAAGCCACGCCGCCGGCCGGCCGGCGCGCCGGCTGCGAGGACGGTTCCCTGGCATACCTCCAGCCCTGCCTCCCCCCTCCCGCTGGGATGGGGCTGGGAGGGGACAGCCTGCTTCTGGGCAGAGGGCCGCCGAGGCAGGCGTGGGCCAACGACACGGCACAGAAAGCGTTATAAAGACGCCCTTTCGGCAGCCACGCTCAAGAGGAGCACGCACGCTCCCCCTGCCCTCGCTGCGGTGGTGCCCTTGCACATGCCGAATGTGCCTCCCTCAATCAGGTCCCATCCCCTTAACGCCCCAGGTCTACTAGTGCTCCTACTCTTGACTTCCTCTCGGTAGGAGGGAGTAACTTCTTTTGCTCTATTATTTTTTGATGTTGGATATTCACATTTGTTCTGCCCCAGAGAGGAATCTTTCAAGCCATGCCTCTATGGGATAAAGTGTAAGAAGGAGGAAAGGCAATCAGCAGAAATTATTCTACCCCCCAAACTCAGCACAGGGCCGGAGCAGGTGACCAAGGGAGCGGGCACAAAGGCAGAGCACCGAGCGCTGGAGGTGGGAGAAGCATCTGAGAAGCATCAGAGGACATGGGCAAACGACTCGGGATTAGGCATTTGCAGCCAAACCAGAGGAAACATCTGTTTAAACCCAGGTGTTTAAAGTTACAGACCCTCTTTGAGAGCTTGGTGAGGCAGCGAAGGTGCCTTGTTTTTATGGCTGGCGACAAAAGGAGGTAGAGCATCTTTTGCGGAGAGACTAGGAGCAGTTCCAAGGGGTGTAGGTGATGATTTTGTGACCTCTCAGGTGGTCCTGCAGCGAGGTGCAGGGCTCCTGCAGGGACAGAGGACACCTCTGGGGAACTGCAAGGGGAACTGCCCGTGGATTCCCTTCAGAAAACCCGCTCGAGTCTCCCAGGCCTTCGGGAAGGGTTTCTGCTGGCCTGTGGGGACCTCTAGTGAAAGATCTGGCTTTGCACAGGTCTCCGGTAGCGTGCGTTTGGGGTTGGGGAAGGAAACTGGGGTCTAGGGGGAAACGAAGGTGGGCTGCGTGGTTTAGCCCATGTCTCTTGCTGTGAAGCAAGCCCCGGTGCCACCGCGGCTTCGCCCTCGCCCCTAACTCACCGTCGCTCTCGGTCGGGCTTCTGGACCTGGTGTTGCACGCAGAGCTGGCTTCGTGCCTTCTTGCAGCCCTTCCAAGCTTAACCCCTAACTCCACCTGTGGACCAGCCCTGCTGCCTTTGTACCCCTGCCCCTTTGGTGGTCCTTCCCCCTGAAAATGCAGGTGACAACCCCACCGTCTGTCCCGCAGCACCAGAAGAACCGACGGGAGCTAACAGCTCAGCGTTTGGGTGCAGCTCTAACTCCACCACGGTGTTCTATAAGGCACTTTCCCCCCCACCCCGACCCATGGTGGGGACCATGTGGACATGGTCACCTTGCAGCTGTACTCCTGTCCCCACGGGGGTCCGGTTAGTGCCCCTGGATGTGTGTGGCCGGGCAGCAGCTGCCCCCCCACCCTGAGCCCGTTGCCCTCTCCCCACTGCTCTCCTTTCCCGCTGTCCATCCCTTGGCTTTTCTCAGGTGGTTTCCAGCTGGTGGCTGGAGTAGGAAGGTCCCTGTGTGCACCTGGGTACATCAGTGGGCAGCAGGGACCCACGACCCACACCTGGTTTTGGAAACGGCTGTGGCAGCTCTCACTGGTGTCTCAGGAGATTGCAGCCAAGCTGTTTTGCAAGAAAGCTTGCAAGGAAGCTAGTGATTTAATCAGAAAATCATGACATGCTTTTTTTCTGTGTATGTGGCTTTGTGCAACTCACTTTCTCTTGCTTCTCTTTGCTTTACAAAATGCATCTTCCTTCCTTTTTTCACTCTCCCCCTCTTTCTTCTTTGCCATTTTCCTGTACCTGCAGTCAGTGATGTGGGGTGGTTTTACCTTTTTGCCCTCTTTCTTTGACACCTGGAGGGAGTGCAACTAGTTTCCGTTATTCTGCTGTTTCACCTCTTTTCCACTGGTCTAGCTCCCAAACTAAGGATGATTAAGGCTTTCAGTCTTCCAGCCTCCCTTCGGCCATACTATTTTTGAGGCTTTTTTTGTGATTTACTTTCAGGAAACGCACATCCAGCAGGCAGCTGGTTTTGAAGACCAGAAGTCACCTCAGTCTTCTGTAGCTGTGGGCCCATGGGGTCTTTGGTGCTAGGAGAGGGGAAAGGACAGAGTCAAAATGCCCATGGATGGTGAGGGTCTCCTGAGCAGGGGGTTATATTTATGTATAGCCATTTTCCTGAATAGAATACTACCAAAGGGATTTTGTTTCTCTCTCCTACAAATAAAAGTTTTAATAGAGTCTCAGGCAAAGGTTATTGCCTTGTGGCGGTTTTCAAATTGGAAGGAAAGACTCTTATGCAGATCTGTTTGGGGGTTTTGATCTCTTCTTTAAACAACGGGTTATTTTTTTTTTCTAAATAACATTTTCCTACACTTTTTCCCAAGATACTATTTATGCAGATTTAAAATAGTTAGTGACAATGTTCATTAAGCAAAACTGCGTCCCAGTGAAAGCGAAAAAGAGGGTATTTTGATACTGATTGAACACTTTCAAAAAACTTTTTAAGGAGCTTTGCTCTGACCTCTGTGAAAAGCTGTTTTTCTTTATGCCTTTCCTCCTTTCCCCGCTGGCTGCATGCCGGAGCTGGCGGCAGCCCACCGAGAGCCGGGGCAGAAGGCGGCTGCTCTAAACAGGAGTTAATAATCGGGCAGGAGGAGGTGCATCGGCACGTGGTGGGGACTACACTTCCCGAGAGGCCCCGCTGTGGCCATGCCTCCCTTCGGTGGAAACCCAGGCTTTATCAAGAGCTGGAGGGACCAACTGCCAGCTCTCTCTGGGGACAAGGAGCCGTGGGACCGAGGTGCGGGATGAGGACCACCAAGTGCCAGCTGCTGGTGACCAGCCTCTGTGTCATGGTGAGCAGGCAGGTTCGAGGGGATCTCCGCAGAATCGAGGTGAACCGTTGCCTTTCCCGCCCCGCTCGGAGAGGCTCGGGTTTTCCCACGTTCTGTTTTTCGCGGGTGGAGGGCAAGCAAAGCCAACTGCCCGAATTATCGTTGCGCCCTGGGCGGTTATCGCTGGCCACCAGCATCGCTCCCCCCTCTGCTGATAGACTTCTGGTTTCTCAGGGCTGTCACGCCGCTGCGGCTCTTTCGCAACCCGGCGGCCGCCTCGGAGGGGGAAGGAAAGGCCGCTGCCGGCAGAACGGGTGGTTTTCAGCAAAAAGATATTTGCTCCTGTCTCCTTGGAGCAAAAAGAGGGAGGATGGACCTGCTGCAGGCACGCTTGTTGCTGGGAGGGTGGTCGGCTGCAGGTGGGATCAGCGAGGATACGAAACCGCGAGGCTTCAATGGAAGTGTGTGTGAGACACCTGTGGACCTGCACCGCGAAGCGGAAGCAATTCTAGGGATCCTTTTTATCAGCTTTCGAAGCAAATTCAAGAAGAGCTTCTTGACATTTAGCTGTTAGAGCTGATGGGAAATGTTGGAGACTGGGGAACACTTAGGGACGTTTTCAAGTTGTATGTGGTTTTTGCCTTTTCACTTCATCAAAGCCTGCAAGCTTAAAAAAAATAATAATAACAACCTGTACTTAGTTCAGAGAGGGTTGGTGGCTTGGAAAGAGTGTAATTAAAAAATAGTACCTTATTTTGGGCCACATGTGAAATTTATAGTTTGTCCAAATTTCAACATTTCAAGACTGTTGGCTGTAGCGGCTGTACGTTGCTCTCTCTTCCAAATAAAAAAATATGACATTTGGAGGAAATCAAAGGAGGATTGGTACCAAACATGTTTAGAGGAGATGTTAAGGCACAGCTGCTGTGGATGGCTAGAATCACGTTATTGCTGTTGGGAGGATTTTAGACTGGCGTTTCTCAGAAATCTGAGCTAGCCGATGCAGCACTTAGCATTTTGCTGGGCGTGAGTCACGATATGCAGTAACGCACAGCATGAAGGATCAGTAGGTGCCACAAATTGGGTTATTTATAGGGAGAAAATGCTACAGTTTGGATGTGTTTAGTCTCTGGAGCTGTAAGTCTCCAGCAGAAGCTATTAGAAAATGTCATACAGTGGGGATTGTGTTGGCACCAGGCTGTCACTTTTGATCCAGGAGTAGCTGCCTTGTGTTTCCATATTGTAAAGGCACAAAATGATGAAGCCTTATCTTAGGAGCTAGGTGTGGCCTCACATCTTGTATCTCCCAGGTTCATTACACTGGAGTTGGAGCTGGCTTTAACTGTCCCGCTGTTGGTGCCTCCATCCCAGCTCTGCCAGTGGCCGTGCTGCAAGGAGCCCTGCCCCAGAGCCAGGTGCCACCAGAAATGTTCCCTCTCTATCACCATGACTTGTGCTGGGCAACACGGAGGGCGACGTGCTGGTAGTCACCCCACACCTTGGGCATACCAATGCCCTCGGGGATGGGACAGAAACACAGACAGCCCAGCAGCATGTCCCCGAGACAGAAACCAGCACAGATTTCTTAAGAGCAGTACAAGACTCAGCTCTTTGCACTCTACAATAGGAAATAGAGCCAGCGGCGGGCAATGGGACTAGCACTGCAAAGAGCAAAGCAGAGAGCATCATCCCTGCCCGAAACTGCTACTGAAGCTGGCAGCTCTCATAATTGCACATGCATACTCTGTGGAGCAGGGCGGAACTGAAAGAGCATCCATTTTCTGGGTTTCCTTCACGTGGTGGGAATTTCATCCACAGACACGGGCCAAGCAACCGCAGGCTGCACGGTGTCACACGCACTTATTATGCAAGAGAGAAAAAGAGCTGTAGCATGTGTTGGTGTCTGGGGTTTGTCCTTTTATGTGCATCTTGGGGTACACGCAGTGGTCTTTGGATGATCAGGCTGTCTGTATCTACGTGGGGCTCAGGAGCATCCAGATGCGCCTCAGAGCTACGTGTGCCCTCAGCAGGAGCTGCTGCCTTGTCAATCCCTTCCTAAAATCCTTCTCTTCCAGCTGCTGGGGTTGTCCATTGCCACGCTGAGCACAGTCACCCACTACGGGCTCCACTTCACCCTCATCAGCGACATCTCCCTGGAGAGCAACTCCTACAGGGTCATCCACCATGCAGGTATGTCACGGTCACATCCCAGCGAGGCCCCTGGTGAACCCAGGAGCTGCAAAATCCCCTAAAGCAATTGAAGGAAATGCAGAGGTATTGCAGGAGGAGGCAGGGGCTGGCTTTTGGAGGATGCATTAGGACTAACACAGTCCCGCAGGCCTTTTTTTTCTGTATCGGAGCCGCACGCCTGGCACCGAAGGGTGCTGTGGGAGCACAGGGTGCTCAGGTGCTGCTGCCTTCGCTCCTGTCCCGCTATTCACCATGTCCCCGTCCTTCCCCTGTGCTGCCCTGAAAGCTCGGGGGGAGCTCAGCCACAGGGGACCTGAAGGTGCAGGGGGCTGGAAGGGCCCTGGGAGCGTGGGGAGAGGGACTGCTGCAGGAGTTGAAGTGGAGCGTAGAAAATTGAGGCTGGGAGGAGAAATGCATGGAAAACACCCGTTTGAGGAGGAAATGTGGTTTTTTTTCCCTACACGAGGGAGAAATATAAACTGAGTCTCGGGTCCAAGGCTAGAGCAAAGAGAGGAGAACAGCCCAGGTACTAAAATCCTCTGCTCGCCTCTGCTGCGCTCGCATCTGCCGCTTCTCCCGAGAGGTACTCTGGGCTTAAACATGCTCATACCCTCTCTAGATCCCGGTTCTCAATTTCAGTTTAGCAAGGCAGGTGTAGGAGCTATGTTAGCCCAAGGCTAAGGTCCAGCCCTCCCCCTTTCCTACACCCACCAGGGTTAGATAGCTTGGCACTTAAGGCAGCTTTGCAGGCTCCCCTTGCCCAGCCACCTCTCTCCTTTGACACTTCCACTTGCCTTGCTTGCAGGCGTTAACTCTCTGCACCCTTAGCCCCGAGGGAGGGTTGCAAAGCCCTTCTCATCCCTGTGGTCCCTGAGCCCTGCCCCGGCATACCGGCTGTGACCCTGCCCATGCCAGGAGGAAGCCGGAGGGCGAGTGTTGCACCAGATTAGCAGCAGACGATGTCCAGATAGGGGCCGTGGGACCGCTGCTGTGCCTCAGCACCCCCCCCCCCGTTCGGGGGGGATCCCTATCAGAGTGCTGCAATGATTGACAGCTTGTGGTCTCTCGGGTGGACCGACACCCTTTTAGGGTGTTTTGCTCTGCCCGAGCTGTGGGAACTGCTCAGGGGCTTACAGCCCTGCCAGACAAGCGAAGCATATGCAGATGGGGGGCTACTGAGTAAATTATAAACCAATTTCAGTTCTGCAACCTGGTCCTCACAGACCAGCTCCCCAAAATACCCTTTCTGGTCCCTCTCTGGCTGAAAGCATCAGACCAGGCCTCTGTTAGCTCTAAAGTCTTGGTGTCTGACCGCAGCTCCCATGTCCACCTTCCTTCCAGCTTTCTACTTCGGGATCTGCCTCAGCATGACCCTGATCCTCGCGGCCCTGCTGAGCTCTGCCGCTGCGGTGCGGGAATCACAGTGCCTCACCGCCATGGTGCGTACCCGGGGGGGGGGCCTGGCCGGGAGGGGCTTGCTCTGACCTCGGGCTGGTACCCTTAAAATGTGGCACTGGGGGCTGTCCCGCCTTGTGCTCGGTGAGCACGCACGCCTGGGGAAGGACATCGTGTTGCTCCACCCTGTGCTGCAAGGGGACATTTTTGTAAAAGGCATGACCTTGCAGAGCTCTTCCAGCGGAGGATTGCATCCTTCTGTGCCTTGTTTCTTTTGCCAAGGTGCTGTGTATGCAGCTTTCAGAGCGGGGTCAAAGGGAGGTGCTTATCTGTCAAAGCAATTGCAGTGACGATTCCCAGCGTATTCTTTTTTTCTTCCGCCAAGCCAACACATGGTTTGTGTGGGGAAACCTTAGCAGTGTGATTTTGAGTCCCATGTTGTTCCTCTGACTTGTGACAGCACAGTTAGGTCCCCCTTTATCCCCCCTTGCTGCAAACACCCACCACAGTGGGGGGGCGAGACTTACGGAGCATGGCAGCAGGCACGAGGGCTTTGGGCTGGGCCCTCAGTTTCAGCCTCCAAGGAGAAGGCAGAGGGGGACCACGAGACCTGAAATGCCACCTTCCTCCTCTCCATCACTCACAGTGAGGTGCCTGTTTGGGCCCGGACCATGCCAGCATGAGTAAACTGGGCTGTGAGCTCAGCTCCATTTAAAAGCAGAGCCTGCGCGCGGGGCTTAGCCTGAACTGAGCAGCTTCCAGCCTCGGGGCTGGAGGGATGAGCAGAAAGACGCTGCTCACTGCGTGCTTGTCCGTGCTATGTGAAGCGCAGGAGTTAACAGGTAGGTTGCTGTGCATGAGGCTATGCTTAATATACAATAATTGCATTGCTATCATATATAATCTACCTTTCAAGAGATCTGTCTAATCTATGTAGTTGGGGAAAACGATGCTGATGGTGGAAATGAGAAGTTTGAAACTTAGCGCAAAGCAGCTGCTGAAGTTAATGCTTTCACCTTCTCAATACGCAGCCTTCCTCTCTCTGTCTGAGCTGCTCACAGGGGCCTGGGTGACACAGTCCCCATTAATACCGCTAGCAGAGTACGCCTAGTTCCCCTCTCTTTTGCTGAAGCATACTTCAGCGTGTGTCTGCAGTTACTGCATCTAAAATAACAGATGGGTTATGTACAAGCTAGGGGACATTGTCAGGGCTGCCTGAAAATACAGTTGAACTTCTCTGTAATGTTTCTTTGGTTGCCTTACTCTGTGTGCGGTATGGTTTGGGACGTGCCACTAGGTAAAAGAGGTTGCTAGAATTATAGCTGTCTCCTGAAGCGCTAGCTGAAGAAAAAAATACCCAGTGAAGTCCAGTGTTGCTGTCCCTGCTCCAGGGCCCCCCTGATGCTGCCCTCCTCTCCCCTTGCCGTGGGGGTGAGGATGAGCAGGTCCTTTCCTCCAGCCACTCGTTGACCCCCCCCCCAGCCAGGCTGATTTGGTGTAACACAGCCGAGCTCTGGCCATCAGAGAAACCCCTAGCTGGCAAACCCCCCCCCCCCCCCCCAAACTAGCTATTTGCTTTTCTCCGTGGGGATCCTGTTCACTTTGCTTTAGCGTTCACAGTTTGGGTCCTCGGGGGGTGGGGGAGAGGAGGTGGGGTGGCCGTCTTCATTCCGGATCTCCGGTGCCACCCGTGCGGTGAGGACACGGTGTCATTGCTGGGGGGCGGAAGGGGAGGAAGGGTGCGAGGTGCTTTCCCCGCGGCTGCGGCCAGGAGGCACCCCACTCCGCTCCCAGCAGGGGATAACGGGGGGGGGGGGGGGGGGGGGGTGCCCTTTGGTTGCCTGGAAGCTCCGTTGCCGCCGTCTCCGGCAGCGGGAGGGGCCGGCCGGGCCCGGGGGGCCTCGGGGCAGGGTGCGAGGGGACCGGGGGGCCGCTCGCCCCGAGCCGGGGGGCTGCTCCGCCGCCCCTCCCGGGAAGCGCCCGGCCCCGCTGCGCCTCCGCCGCTGGAGGGGGCCCGATCCCCGCCGGGATTCCCGATCCCCTCCCCGCCAGGCTCCCCGTCCCCCCCCCATCCCCGTCCCCCGCCGGGCTCTCCCATTCCCGATCCTCGCTCCCCTCCGGGATCCCCGACTCCCGCTCCCCTCCGGGCTCCCCGATTCCCGATCCCTGCTCCCTCCCCGGGCTCCCCCATCCCTGCTCTACCGGGCTCCCCGATTCCCAATCCCTGCTCCCTCCCCGGGCTCCCCCATCCCTGCTCTACCGGGCTCCCCGATTCCCGATCCCTGCTCCCCCTCCGGGCTCCCCCATCCCTGCTCCACCGGGCTCCCCGATTCCCGATCCCTGCTCCCCCCCCGGGCTCCCCCATCCCTGCTCCACCGGGCTCCCCGATTCCCGATCCCTGCTCCCCCCCCGGGCTCCCCCATCCCTGCTCCACCGGGCTCCCCGATTCCCGATCCCTGCTCCCCCCCCGGGCTCCCCCATCCCTGCTCCACCGGGCTCCCCGATTCCCGATCCCTGCTCCCTCCCCGGGCTCCCCCATCCCTGCTCCACCGGGCTCCCCGATTCCCGATCCCCGCTCCCCCCCCGGGCTCCCCCATCCCTGCTCCACCGGGCTCCCCGATTCCCGATCCCTGCTCCCCCCCCGGGCTCCCCCATCCCTGCCCCTCCGGGCTCCCCGCTCCCCGGGGCCCTCGGCACAGGGTGATGCAGGGAAACCTCCGTCACCTTTGCGGGTGGGAGGCCGAGACAGCCCCAGCCTTTCAGTAAGGAACGGAGGGGCTGGGGAATACCCAAGAGCTGGTCACCAACAACCTTCTCTGCTCCTCCTTGTTCAGGCAGCTGATCAGCATCTTAAATCACATAGGGGAGCTTTGTTTATTCCTACACATTGCCCCCCCTCTGTTCTCTCAGTATCTTACAGCAAGGGCAAACCCGCTGCTTGTTTTCCCACCAGTTCCTACCCCTTCCCAAAGTTCGTATTTAATCCCTGCTCTGCAAGCAAGAAATGCAGGCAGGAGAGCCAGCCCCCCAATGCCTGCGGCGTGGTGTGACCGCAGGCAGGAGTGGGGTTCAGCCCCGTGGGGCTCTGAAACGTCGGTGTCGCGTCCTGCCCTGCTGATCCCCGCTCGCAGAAGTCATCAGCCCCCTCCGCTCGCAGCTTTTTTCCTACTTGTTAATAGGATTTTTCACCTTCCCCCACTATTGACTTTAAAGGACTTTTCCTCTCCTGCAAGGCATGTGTCTTGTTTAGAAGACCATTTAATTCACTCTTTGATTAAAGAGGGAAGACACCAGAGTATTGGTGCCTGACATCCGTGGCTGTATAGGAAACCAAGCCACGCTCGAGGGATGTCTGCATTGATGTGGCTAATCCACCACAACGCCGCTTGGTAAACCAGCTACCCTGGGGAAAAACGCTCGCCAGGATGCAGGCGGGCTTGGAGGAGCATTGCCCTGTCACTGACCTGTTGGGTGGATCCCATCTCCTTCCTGTGCCTCAGTTTCCCTACGGGCATTTTTTTCTTTTCTATTTATAAATGCTCACCCTGCCTGGCTCTCTGGAGGTTTGTGTATACCAAGGAGGGGTCTCAGTCTGTGCAGGACTTACTGGTGCTGTCCTAGTATCAGGAATGGGTGCACAGTGGTTAAAACCCAGAACAAGTCAAATTGGTTAAAGCACACGTATCTCAGGAGCTCCTGATGCATTAACAGCATCACCAGACCAGACAGACTGTGCATCCACTGATGCTTGTGAGGAAGCTGGTTTCTAGAAAGCAACTGAGAACTTAAGGATAAAAAACTATGTTCTAAAATCCTGGACTATTATCCCCAAAGCTCCTTTTAAACAGGGAGAGTCGTGACAGATTTACTGCCTGTCCTCCAGTGCTGGCAAACCCTGCTTTTGGGTGATCTGTGCTCCATCATGCAGTCAGTTCTGAATGTAAACATCCTGCAGCTCTCACGGCCCGTGAAGGCCATGTCGCTATTGAAGGGGAGGAGAAGGAAGGAAAACTGCAGTTTTGCTAGTACTGCTTGTACAAAGGAAAGACTCTGGCTCCGGCAGGGTTTTAAGGCACTGTGTGCTGTTATCTGGTCAGACAGAGAGAGGAGAGGAAAAAAAAAAAAAAATAGCATGGAGCAACACGCCAACCAGAATATCCCAGCTGAGATTCTTACACCTAAATTTTCCAGCCTAAAAAACAGTTGTGTAGAGCAAAATTTGTGTTCAAGCTGTTACAAGCACCGTTTCCAAACAATTTCAAAAGCCTTAGTGAATGCCCGAAATAACCCGTTTTTTCACTGAGAGTGATGTGCCAGCACACAGCGCCGGCTGTTCTCTTCACTGTCCCCAGGTGTATCGCTGTAGGCGAGTGTGTAGAGGGTCCTTAATAACACCGCGGTGCCTCTTGCTTCGGCAGGGACTCCGTCTCCCGTGCCCTCCCTCGCGGTGCAGCACTCCTGAGCGAGGCACCCGTGCGCCGGCGGTCCCCGGGGAGCAGGCGCGGGCAGAGCCCCGCTGCTCAGCCGGAGCCTTCGGGCTGAGACCACCGGCTGGTGTTTGCTATGTGGAAAGGCAAAAACGTATCGTGTGCTTTTAGAGAGCTACCGAGCCCAGTCTGAGCTCAGGGATCCCTCGTGTGAAGCGGATCCCCTTAACCGAAAGGGAAGCGTCAGAAAGGTGAATTAAAAGATACACCAGCCAGCAGACGAGGCGCTGTTTCTGCAGATTCTGCCGAGCCTCCCGAAGAGAAATTGTTCCTTGCAGCAAGGATGGAAGCAAGGTCATTCATAAAAGAGTAATTGATGTCTGGCTGGTGACATCCCTCCGCAGGGATGATGTGGCTGCCTCCTGCAAAGGGAGTAGGCAGCAACCTGTGGCCAGCTCCGAGGAGCTCCAAGGATCTGGGAGGTGGTGAACCAGCCTCAACCCTTCCACATTTCGTATGCAAACTAGGCATTGCCTTTTTCATTTTTCCTCCAAATGTCTTCTAATGTAATTAGAAGATCGGTCTTTCAAACGCCTTTTGGCTGGGAAGGGAAAAAGCATCCTATAATTAATTTATAAGATGATCTCAGAGCCATGTAATTGCTCTACACCGGCTGGATGGAGGGGGAGCTTCCCGGGGGACCATGTCTCAGTATTCCCAGAGAAGCCAGACAGAAATAAAGGGAGAGCTGATGCTGGAGGTGAAGGACTGAGATGTGGAGTGGAACCAAGAAAGGGAAGACGAGAAGGAGGATTTCAGTCTGCTGGGGTTTCTGGCCCCAGAGGGATGCTGCAAGTGCTGGAGCTGGTGTGGGAAGGAAGGGAGAGGATGGGGGGAGAAATCCGGGTGGTGCCACTCGCGACACTGTTGTTCTCACTCTCCAGGCTCATGGTGGGGCCTCTCAATTAAACCTTTACTGGAAGGATGTGCAGAAGAGCTTTCACATTGCTATCAGTGCTGGGGTTTTTTTATCTGCCATGATTTTCTATTGTTTTCTTGTCTTTGAGCTTGATTTTGGTGAAAATGTTGGCTTTGTTATGCTGTTTGGGGGAAGTTGTTGGAGGAGGGTCTAGTCCTAGTGAGGAGCAACCTGAAATGCCCTGGTAACCTCACCTCCTCCCCTTCCAATTCCTGCTGTACCTGCAGGGTTAAACCACCCAGCCCAGCCAGGCTCGGGCTTGCTGGTGCTGTGTTTTGCTCTGTGACACCTCGCCCTGCGTGCTCTTCCCCATCTTCTCCACTTGTACCCCCCTTGTCACATCAGCATTTGATCAGACTCTCATCTCCTTTAGGGTCTTCTGTTATCCCATTTCAGCTCCTGGCAAGGCAGCGAGTGATCTCACCGCCTATATGGCCAGGCAGCTGCCAGAAAAATAAAAAAGGAGAGACTGGACATACATAATTTAAAGTTTTTCGTAAGAGCCGTAACAGGGTTTTCCCCGGAGCCTGAAACAAGGCAGCCCCAAAAAAGTGGTAAAATGCCAACGGCAGTGTTGTTCCTGGAGCAAAGCCCCCGGGCAGGGCATCGTCCGGCCACGAGCAGGGAAACACAGCAGGCAGCAGGCAGACAAGAACCAGCAAAAGGCAGTTTATTGGCATGTTCACATTCATTTCCAGGATTTGAAGTATCACATTTTCCTTTCTTGCTGCATATGGAGGAGTTTGGGGCTTTTTTTTTTTTTTTTTTTTCTCTAAACCATACTTTTTAAGCAAAAGGTTTTTTTGGTGAAGCAGAATTGGTAGCAGCAATGCTCTTCTTCCTCTCCTTAAACTTGAATTTGGTAAACTTTCATGAAAGATTTAATATTTTTAAAGTGGTTTCAGCTATAACATACTGTTAAAACACTCATAGAAAAAAAAATCAGAAACTAAAATAAGCTGAAGTCAGTTGGGTAATTTTCCCCCGCTACAGAACTTCATGTTGGAAGAGGGACAGTTTCATGGAAAAACTTGTAAGGGCAGTAATTTTTGACTGGTGCTTATTCATCATCTTTTGCCATTCAAAAACTAGGCTGTGGATTCATATTTGATGAGCCCATTTGGCCTTCAAATGCTTTACAGGCACTTTCTTCTTCCTTTTTAAAATTTCTGTTTAATGTGAACAAGATCCTTTGGTCCAGCTGTCACAACAGGCAAGTGCTGTTTACATCGGGTTTTTTTTTTTTGGACCAGATTTTTTCAAATAAAGAGACAGCGTGTGTAACTTCCAGCTCTGCAAGCGTAGGGAAGAAGACAAAAGTCGAGCTACCTCCTGCGTTGTTGCCGTTATTGTTTAGACACTTCAGGGTCAGTTGCTGGCCTTGATTATATTTCTGTCATCCTTTTGTCTAACTAGGATGGCGCTGATTTAAGGAAGGCGGCTTGGCCGTCCAGCTGCCACCTTGCTAACAGAGTAAAGCCCAGCTCCTTTTCCAGAGCAGCTTGATCTCCATCCTGGTTACTCGCTTCCTTAGGGACTATTCAGGGGGGTTTTCCCCTCTTTGAAACCGATAGCTGAGTTTTAAATGCAGGGGTTTGAATCCTATGAATAAGGAGAGGCTATTCTCTGGCATAGTCCTGCTACAGAAGAGGAGCAAACTGTAAATAAAATGTTTTTCTCTCCCTTTTTTTTTTTGGTTTTCCTCAAGGGGAATTTAGTCAGAATAGGTTAACCATCCTGCAGGAAGCCAGGTGAACCTCTTCAAACGGCCACAGTGTAATTAGAGGGCTCCTGATGAGGAATCACATTATTATCCATCTAGTTTCTTTTAAGTAAGCAGCATTATGAGAGAAGCTGATGTTTAGCTCTAACTTTAACTAAACTTGCTCAAACAAGCGTATTAAATACATCCTGACAGTGTTTTCAAATGGACATTTTTCTCCCCATGTTGTAACTGATGATATTTTTCCTCTTTATCCTCAGGGATTTTTCTGTTTTGCTCTGGCTTTCTGTGGATTGATCCCAGCTGCCTGCTGGAGATACACGCACAGCACGGAGGTAAGCGTCGGCTGCTAGGAAATACCACCAGCATCTCGTCAGATGGAGATGTTTTTTGTAGCAACTATTTCTCCCGTAAAAGGGACATCTGGTGGTAATTAAGCCATCCATGCCGAGGTCTATCAGATGCATGCTCTGTCGCACCCGTCCTTTGCAAGAACAGGGCTGCTTCATCAGCTGCCTCTGCAATGGGCCCATCTGAAGGGAGAAGCCATGGAAACCCCCATGCGGGGCAAACGCTTTGTCCCGAAGGCAAAACAAAATGCAAGTCTCGTTTTAAGGAGCTTTGGGATCTTTTTGCAGGGGATGTTTTGCTTCGTTTTGTTTTAAATGAGATGCTTGACTTTTGAAAAGTCATTTCCAGCCAGCTCTAATTCCTGCTAAGGTCGATTGGGAGCCTCTGTTCAAAGGGGGTGGCAGGTTGTGACTGTCCTGGTTGTCTCTGGCGATGGCCAGGATAAACACCCAGGAGGTGCGTTTATTAACTGCCAGCGGTGGTACTGTAAAAACACCAGTGTGAAAAATGGTGTTTTGAGTCGCTGGCACGCTGGACCAGAAAAAGATGATTGTATGAGGTCGAATTTGCAAGAAAGCTGGGGTTTGAATTGTTTACTTCAGAGCTTGCTGGTGCTGTGGTAGGTGGATGGTGCTGGGGAAGTCGAGCCGAGGCGTGGGCGCTGCTATGGGACAGTCCTGCCCGTTGTAGTGGGTGCCCCTGGGGACAGGGTAGCAAGCTGCTGGGGAAAGCAGAAATTGAACTTAATATTTAGTAGCCTAAAGAACTTTAGACTTTTTTTTTAACTCTTTCCTCATCTGATATAATTTGCTTTTTGTATATTTATTCATCTTCCCATTCAGAGGAGTTTGTTGTTGCTTGGTCTTAATTCCTTTTCCTGCATCTCTGCACTCAGAAGAAAAAAAAATAAAATTAAGGGACAAAATGAGTGCAAAAAAATCATGACTTCTTTTTTCTGAAAGTAGAACACTGATATTTTAGGCAAGCATCCAAAGTATCTAGCAGTGATTCAGATAAGTGTTTGGGACTTTGATAGACGTTTCATGCAGTGGGTTGGTCCCTGTCTCTGCTTTGTCCCTGCAAAGTTCTGGCCAGCAATGAGGATATGAGTGACATGAAACGTCATCCCGGTGGATTAGGGTCATGTTGATGCTGCCAGCACATCTCTTTAGGGCTACAGATGTTGGGGGGGGATTGAAGACCAGTGTGTCAGAAGTCTGGCCATGAGATTTCATTGTGTGCTGGAGGAGCACAACTCCATCAAAACTGCAGAGACTCAGTTCCATGCCAGGACTGTGGCAATCGCGCTTCTCGGGGACAAGAAGCCTTGTCCCATAATGGTTCAGTGTCCTGTGCAAAAATCAAAATCTAGTCCTTCCAGAAGCAGAAGTCTAAAGAGCAAAGGCAAGGTTAGGGTGAGGGGTAAGGTCCTGCTTCTCTAGAAAGTTTGTCCAGAGCTGACCAGTGGCCACAGTAGTTGAAAGTCCTTTGAAATACGCAGACAGCTACGCCGGCTCAGACCAAAGGCACCTCCTCTGAGACAGGCACACTCGCTGTTGGCCAAGGTAGGAGCATAAAAACCCAGCGAGCACAAAGCACTTGCTTTTTCAGATGCCAACAGCGTGTGGCTCAGGTGCCTGCTGGTGGCACCTGCTGGTGCCTTTGCCTCTAATGTTCTCAGTGGATTTTTCCTCTGTGAATTTGTCCGGCTGCTTTGGAAAGGTTAGAGTGAGTGCTGATGGCACAGCAGCACCTTTTATCTCTGCATTTACCTGGCTGAAGTGGATCCAATCAGAGCTGAGGCATCCATGAAAAAGAGTCTTTCCGCAACCTCTGTATATATTTTCCCTGGTTTCAGGCAAAGCTATCAAAATTTATTACATTCACACTAACAGTTTAAGATGGAAATTATCTTGTTTTCACGACCGACACAGAAGGGAGGCCTTGAGCACACTTTCCTCCTCCTTCTGCAGAAGTTTATAGAGATTGAAACAAAAGCTGTGTTAGTAAAGGAGAAGTGGCACCAGAACGTGTGTCTGGTTGGTCTTGTGAATTTGCGTTATCCAGACAGACTATTTAGTTATACTTTTTAATCCACAAACATGGAGTAGGGTGTAAAAAGGCTGCAAGAAAAAGTTGTATATTGGGTTAATATAGGGATGTGCCATTCAAAGAACTGTTCTGCTGAACACATTTAAAGGAGAATTACTTTCTCTATATATCTCTTAATCACTACATCTGGTTTTACTTTGATTTATTTTCCTGTTATTTTACTTTGAGTGCCCTGCCCATAATTGCACCCATGTGTTATGGTTAGCTTTAGCAGTTGGTTCAGTTTCTTTAAGCAAAACAGCTTCCACTAGGCAAAATGAGGGGTTTTTGTAAAACGTTTACCTTCTGGGCAAAGAAACCAGCAGTGTTTCTGACAACGGAAAAATTAAAATGCCATTAGAAATTGGCTAGGGTTTCTCTACTTCCTAAAATGCAAAGAGAAACGGGGAATATAGATGAGGAAAGATTTAATTAGGAGTGTCACTTACAAAACATATGGAAATGTGGTTTCACTTGAAAGGCAACCTGTCTTAGCTGAGAGAACAATGCAGATGTGCGAGAGAGAGAAATACAGCGGTGACTGCCCCTCCGAGACAGAAACACAGGTAGTGCAGCGGTACAGAAAACTGAACGGAGCAGGGGGGAGGCTCCTGGAGTCTCATTATAGAGCCATTTGTTTCTCTGACTTTCTCAAGGTAAAGAGCAAAATTAAAGCTCCCCAGCCTACTGCGTGTCAGTACTGTCAGCAATAGTTAATTGCAGTAACACGAGGGAAAAAAAATCAAACTCAGCCAAATTGATGGGTGTCTTGTAAGCCTGATGGGATGCACACAGCTATCAAGAAAGGAAGAGAATTTGGGGATGTAAAACTGAATATGGATGAATATGTCCATTACACGTGCCTGCATCAATACCTCTGAAGAACTGAGGGGCTACTGCCCCCATGTTCATGGCTAAAACAAAAATTTGCATTTTTCCCATGCAAAATACGTTGTCTTTCCAGTGAAAAGCCAGACAGCAAATCAGCCTGTTCAGTCTGGAGATGCCAGCTGGGAGCTGGCGTTGGTAGGTCCCGTCCTCCCCCTCCCCACGGGTGAGGTGTCACAAGCCAGGAGCTGGGATGTCCCCCCTGCTCCAAACCACAGCAGATGCTCTCAGTTGTTTACTCTTCTTGATCAAAAAAAAAAAAAAAGGGGGGAAAAAAAAAAAACACAGAACAAACAAAAAACCCCACCACTTAAATTTCCTTCACAAAGCAGACCCCTCATACAGAAAATCATCTGAGATGGAGAAGTCCAATATTGAGCTGAAAGATTGTTTTGATGGTTATTTTCAAGAGGCAATAGATAAAAATGTTGTTTGAACATGATGAAAGCAAGATGCTCTTTTTGCCTTTGTGACTCTTTCAGAGCCCTGTTTACAGTACTTCTTACAGAGAAGCTACAGAGGACAGGGAAAAAAGAAGAGTTATTGGTAAATATTTTATATTCTCAGACCTGGGTGCTGTAAACAAAATGTGGATCTTTTAATTTCCCATTCTTTTCTGGTTTTGTGACCTTCCATAGCTCCTGAACTAATTCTTTCAGACAGACGCCACGTGTTTTAATTTCAAGTTACCTGCAGTCCAGATAGATTTGGTGTCACCACAGTCTTTATGCTTAAAATAACATATACCAGACATGCAGAAATCATGATTCTGAGATTTATCGTGCTTTATCCTAAAAGATTGATCTCTCTGTGCAGCATCGTAATTATTCCTGCTCTGTTGCCTCATCCATGTGGCCAGTGACTGGGTTCTGTGAGGTCCAGATCTCCTTTGTACTGTCTTCTCAGGCTGCTTTGCATCCATCTGTCTGCGTTAAAGTACTTTTAACAAGGAACTAATAACCTACCCATTCCCAAAGCATGTTTGTCTGGTAGGCTCTGCAAAGAAAACGGTGCACAAAATGGGAGAGAACAAATAAGTCAGAGTGATATCCCAAATCTTCTACCTATTTTGCCAGCATGCGTAACGCAATGCAGCCTTTCTGTTAGGGTCTACCCCCAGTTTACAAAGAAACACTTTTCCTCTCAGCCAGTGGCACCAAGAGAAGCAGTGCTGCTGTCACTTGGAGAGGTGTCAGGACTTCTCTGGGCAGGTTGGCTGCTTGGAGGAAAATCTGAAATGAAAGTATTTGTAATCGGGAGGTTGTTGACGTACCCTGTGAAAATCTAGTGTGCTTTTCTGCCTGGCCCAGATCCCTTGAGAGAGTCGATCCCTTTTCACGCCTGACCTAGCACAGACAAGGGTCTCCGCAAGGGTGAGGAGCACGTTTGGTCGCCCTCTTTATGGGCCATCTGGCCAAAATGTGGTCTCGGTGGGAGATGGAGGTCTTGGTAGGAAGGTGTCACAAACCTGTCTGAGGAACGACAGCGGCGGTGCAGTCAAAGCCAACGAGACCGACGTCCAAGGGAGGGGCAAGGAGGGTGACCTCTCTGTGAGCACCTTTGGTGGGAACCGTGGAAATGATGAGGGTTTTGGATGGTTTTTAGCCAATTTAGGAGGTCCTGGTTCCCGAAGCCAAAGAGCTGAATCTTCTTTTCCGAAGTTATTTTTATGGCAGCTCCTTTCCCACAAACTGCTGCCTGTTTAGGTGAGGTCTCTTAGTCATTCCCAGCTGCGACCTGGGATGTGGAGAAGGATTTAGGAGAGGCTTATGCCACATTTGGCACAGCTGGTGGGGAAGGCTGCTGCTTCCTCTTCCTCCCCAGTTTCCCTTCTCTCCCCACCCACTAGCTTTAAAAGCCCGCCTGCAGAGCCTGGAGGAAAGGGGTAGCCTTGCAGCTGTGGTGTACAAGAGCTTTTGGTACCCTTACTAACCAACACAAAAATAGGTTTGAGGGTTTCGCCCTGGGCCCTGCTGCGAAAGAGGCTGGAGGAGTTTCAGTATCACATCATCTTCTGCTGTTCCCTTTCTCTGCAGCAGATTAGAAGATCCTTCCAGCAGCCGCCCATGACGGCCCCGGCGGTCAGGATGGCAGGGTGAATTGGTGAAAATAAAATCGCTGCAACGTGAAAGGAGTTTTGCAACAGAACGAGCTTTTTAATTACAGAGATTAATTCACAGGCAAATGTTAGCTTAAAACCTGTTAAATTCTGATTTCCCAACTCAGGAAAATTTTGAATTGGTACAAATAGTTGCCCATACACTGGGCATAAAGGCCCGATTCCCCATGTCCTTTGGATGAAGAGGTCACTTGGATTTGCACTGGCTGCAATGATATGGCAATCTCTTAATTATCAAATGGTCTCTCAGGTTGCTGGGTGATTTCAAAAGGAGGTTTCACCAGTGGCTTTTGGCTCCCACGTGCAGAAAGGCATTAGCCTCTGCGTTGCACTGCTTATACTTGGAGGACAAACGTGAGGATTTTAACTTTTTATGAGTGGGGAACACAAGCTGCCCATACACACTCTGGTGCTCCTGCAGCCTTGCTCTGCTTGAAACTTTTGTCCAAGGAACCTGCTTGCTCTCCTGCTGGGAAGAGGAACCGGAGTCATTTATGCTTTGTTAGCCAGCAAGGCAGTATCTTTTGAGTTGATGATTTTCTAACAGAGCCTGGGATGGAAATCTGCAATTAAGAGTCGCAGCTGTTAAATAACAACACTGCCACACTTGGGGCAGGTCTTGAAAAGAGCAGCTTCCCCTCTCCCTTCCCTACATGTCTCCTCCTGCCTGCGGGTGTTCCTCCCAGCCAGCACCTTTGCAAAGGAGGAGCAGCACTGCCGGGGTCTGCGGGAGGCAAACCCTGCTTTTGCGTGCGCAGAGCCGGGCGGCACGTGCATCTCCCGTTTCTGCAAGTAGGCAAGGACTGACCCAGCGTGTCCCAGGTAATTTCTGAAGTGGGATCGTACGAGTCCTTCCAGAGGTTTTTCCAGGGTATGTTTGTATCTGTCACTGCTGCCGCTGATGCGTGCTGGGGCAAACTCTTACAGGGTCGGGTCCGTCTCACCTGAAGGCAATGCTTAAATGCAGGTCTAAGTGCTAGAGATTTTAATGGGGCTTAAAAGCCAGCTGAAGGTGTTCAGGGGCTTTCTGAAACCAGACCCAAAAGGTACAGATAGTTTTCTTTCGGTTGTTAACTCAGTAGGGCTGGATGAGGATTGTAGCGACTCACATGAGTCTTTCAAGAGCATTTTCAAAAAGCTATTTGGCTATGGAAACACTGTGAATAACCTGATGTCATCCTTGCTCTCGCTGTTATTCTGCCAGGCACAGTCACTTTAAGGTAAGCACTGAGCTTCTCCCAGTCTCTGAAGCCCATGGGGAAAAAAAAAAAAAAAAAAAAAAAAAAAAAAAGGGGGGGAAAACCGCTCCCCCTTCCTTAGTGTTTTTAAATATTGTGACTCTTTCCTAGTGTTTATGTTCCCATCCCACAATAACGGCCCACTCCCCCCAGCGAGACACTGCTCTCCTTTGTCTGAGGCGCTACACAGGCATTCACACTCAGAGGCTTTAGAATTTATCGCTGCCCTGACGCTGAACCCGCACGGCCCCATTCCTGCCGTTTTCTGTGGCAGAGTGTTAACCGGAGCTCCCGTCTCCGGCAGCATCGGCCGCGGTACCTGAGGCCGCTCAGATGGTCGTCGTCACTGTGGCACATCCAACCTTCACCACCGCCAGCTCAGAGGTGACAGTGCTGCCCTGGGGCTAGCTCTGTCACTGATACAACCTTTTTTTAAGCTAAGACTGTTTTCAGTGTTTTTCAATGCTTTCTGTTGGGAAACAGTCTTTCCTAGCCCTGGTTTCAAGTGCTACAGGCAGGAGAGCGGGGATGACTGTGATAATTTGACCATGATGTTGGGAGGTTCATAAATTGCTGGGTTGTGTGTCTTGAATGTTGGGAGCACCAAGGGTCAGAGTGGGCCCTCAGCCCTCGGCAGCCTGTTGGTTTTGCAGTTTTGTTATAAAATGGACTGAAATACTTGAAGTTTGTTTTAAAAAAAAAAAAACAACCAAAGAAAAAGCCAACTCAAAAAAAAAAAAAAACCAAACAAAAAACAACCCAAAAAACCAAGAGGGCCTTGATACACTGAGGCTGGTGTCACTCAAAAGGGGTGCAGCCCTAGATCTGGAGGATTTAGGGAAAATAACTTGATGTTGATTATAACTGCCTGCCTGGGTTTTCTGCGCTTGCCTATAAATCTGGTGTTCTGCCCCCGTGGCGCAGCGATGCTCCAGCCTGCACCCGAGCAGCACAGGGGCGGCCTCGGGGCTTCACGGCTCGGTTGAGCATGGGGCTCTGATGTCCCCCTGCCCACTGGCTGGGCGGGATGTATGGCACCCATACGGCTAGACTTTTGCTGTTGTTTTGGGACATGGAGATGGGAAATGAGGAGGAGGTGAGCTATTTAACAGCTCAGCACCTTCTTCTGTTTTAAATGTTTTGTGTGGGGACCTGAAGGAAGCACTGGGATTGAAGAGAAACAGCTTTGTAAGGCTTTGCTTTTCCTGAATTTTTTTGCTCCACAATGGTTTTTGCTTTCTCCCCCCTTCTGCGTATTCCCTCAGCAATAGGCCAAAAGATGGTCAGAGTTTTCCTGATCCTCTTGAGATACCAGAAAGTGGGAGGAAGTGCATATATATATATATTTTCAGAGAGAGAGAGAGATAAAATCTGTATCTGTGTTTAAATATTGGAAAGAAAAGGTGAAAACCATTGAGCTAAAAGCCTCATCTGGATCTTCTCGCATCAGTGGCCTCCTGTGACCACTGGCAACTGGGGGGAGCAGCACCTTCTTACCTTATGCAGTTTTCCATGGGGGGGCCTCAAAGGCCACTCTGGTTTGCAGCACTGGCCAGATTTCTGCCACTGGGATCAACTGGCTTGAGGAATGCTGGAGAGGAGGGGAGCTGACATGCTCTGAAGGAAACGAGAAGCTGCAGCATGCTGTAACGACTGTGTTAGGTACAGCAGTGATGGCCTGGGCAAGCATGGGGCGAGGGAGAGCCCGTCTCCCCACATGCTCGATCCACGCAATGGAGTTGCTCTGCAACCTGGTTGAAGCACCCAGAGCAGTTTTCCCTTCTCTGTTTCATTTCAGTTGTGTCATTGCTTTATCTGAGCCCAAGCAGCTGCGTCTGCCCCCCGCTTCCCTTTCTGACATGCTGTGAACACGTGCGTTTCTGCACACCGGGGAGGAAAGGGAAGATGGAGATAGCAAAATGCAGAAGTGTTTTTCTTACTGGAGCAAGGAAGGATTTGGAGTGATTTAACCACTTTATTCCAGTTGCACACTTTAACTGACTAACTTGTAGTTTCCAGGTAGGTGAGGGAGCCTGAGGTAGCCGCCGCTGAAGGGGTATTTCTGAGTGATGCTGGTGAGTGCATCCCTCTTGGCAATGCTGAGAGAACATGAAGTGCCGAGGTTGCAGTTTTTCCTGAGGCTGCCATGCATGTGCTCAGTTTGGTACCTGGAAGGCACAAAGAGCCACAGGAGAGGAAGATCCTCCTCCTGCTTGCCATGCTTCTCTTCCCGTTCTGCCACGTCAGGAGTGTTGCCTAGGCACAGGCATTCACTGTCAGCAGGAGAACGATTCAGTGACACCTCTGGCTTGCACAGGGGTTGGGAACCAAAGGCTGACCTCCTTGTCTGATCTTTCTGTTCCAAATCCAGTTACTGGTTGTGCTGGTTTTGGCTGGGATGGAGTTAATTTTCTTCACAGTAGCTAGTATGGGGCTGTGGTTGGGATTTGTGCTGGAAACAGTGGTGAGAACACCGGGATGGTCTCGTTGCTGCTGAGCCGGCTCACACAGAGCCGAGGCCTTTCCTGCTCCTCACCCCACCCCAGCAGCGAGTGTTTGGGGGGCACGAGGAGCTGGGGGGGCACGGCGGGGACACCCCAGGCCGTACGGTGCCGTGCTCAGGGTCCAGGGCTGGGGGAGGAAGGAGGAAGGGGGGGACGTTCGCAGCGACGGCGTTTGTCTGCCCCAGTCACCGTTAGGCGTGCTGGAGCCCGGCTGGGCTGGGGAGGGCTGAGCCTGCCTGCCACGGCGAGAGGGGAAGGGATCCCTTCTGCTGCTTTGCTTGCGTGCACGGCTTTTGCTTTACCTATCGAGCTGTCTTAATCTCAACCCATGAGTTTTCTCATTTTCACCCTTCCGATTCTCTCCCCTATCTCACTGGGGGGAGTGAGCGAGCGGCTGCGTGGGGCTGAGCTGCCGGCTGGGGTTGAACCATGACACAGGTGAAAATTATCCTTGATAAACAACCTAAGTCAAAAATGTCAATTTTCTTCTTGAAAGAGGTAAGACTGAAATTTGCTTTAGATTCTAATAGCCGAGGGCAAGAATGCTAATGGCTTAGAGTAAATGCCTTCCTGCAATCATAAATCCTGCTTCTTGGGGGATAAAGCATTTAGAGGATGATAAACAATCTCAAAATTCCTTCTTTCTTTTACTTTAAGTGAAAAATGCTACTTTATTGAGTCAGCTGGAGTCAGCCGCATAAATCTCAGTGGTGATTTTCCATTTGTTGTATCCAGCAACCCATCAATATCATCCCTAAATGAATGTTTCATTGAGGAATGCAGACAGAAATGGGAGGCAGCAATTATTTGACTAATTTAAAACTGGAACATTTCACCCAGTTTCTTCCAGGAAAAGAATTGCTGTAAGGTGTGACCTCCATATCACTTAACCTGGAGATTTTTCTTAAGCCAAAGCCCAGCTGATGCTTCATCTTCAGCTCTTGGTGGTTTTTTTTTTTTTTCTGACAAGCATTGCAGGCACAGTCTCCTTCCAAGGAAGAGCTTCATCCAGAAATACTTCTCTGTCAGTGAGTCACAGAATGTCACTAGGAACAGGAAAATCCACTTGACCGTAGTGATGCTTATATATGGGGGAGTGCAAGACCTTTCAAAAAGAAGCCCAGACTTCTTTTCTCCAGCTGTATCGGTCCATTACACGCTAACTACCATCCAGGTTAAGGGATGGGGCACAGCTGTGGTTTACTTAAAGAATGTTATTAACAGTATCAATAAAACCACTCAAACCCAAAAGGCATCCTGTTGCTTAAGTGTGAGAGAAAGCACCCTGATTTTGTTGGGTTTTTTTGTTTGTTTGTTTGTTTTTGTTTTTTTTCTCTCCAACACCTGGTGTAAGAAGCAGAAAAAGAAAATTATTTTGAGGCAATGGACTGTTGCCTGTTAGTGGAGTGTGTGATGGGAACCTGTTGAGGATGGCAACTGAGTACAAAGCAGTCCTGCAGTCTAGCTCTTCACTGTGTAATGTCCCAGATCAAAGGAACATACAGGGATGAGCTTGTGTCTGCTGGCTAAAATAATGATGCAAATAAGGATAGGTCATGAAACCACCTGGTGACTGTCTCATGCTTTCAGGTTTTATTTTTTACATCATTGGGCATGCATGAGTTAGCGTGACATTTTGGGCTGCATAGATGCTGCCACGCATGGCCGGTGCTTCAGAGCTCGGCTGCAGCTCCGAGTACAAACATAACGCCATCCCAGGCAGAAAAGTTGTGAAGATGGTGGTTCATCACTGCAATCTTTTGCTCTGGTACATCTCCCCTTATGAAGCCAGACCTCTCGTATGCTCTGTGGTACGTTCTCCTGCACAGAAGGAAACAGCCAGTGATAAATAATGGAGATTTAGTACTTTATGCCTACCTCTGAAATATTTAAATGAGAAAGTTCTCTGCAGTAATCTGTGAAAACAGACCGCCGCATTGTATGAGGACAGCAATTTTCCCCTCCAAAATCAAATGATCCTAGCAAAAATCAGAAAGATGATGTGGAGGAGCTATAGTCAATTCACTGTTTAAAAAATGGTTCTGTAGTTTTATATTCCCTTACTAGGATCTGAATAACATATTCAGATAATAGCTGGATATAATTGCTAGATAGAAATGCTGAGAATGACTAATCAGCAAATTGTACTCTTAGGCTTGCCCAGACACACATTCTAAAAGGAAATTATTGCTATAAAACATTTTCCATTTAATCCCTTTTGCTTTCAGTTCTTGGAGGCTGCTTGACAAAATGAAAGGAAAAAAAAAAAAAACTACAACAATTAGTAAATAACTGAAAAGCAAGCTCAGAAACAGGGTGCAATTGAAGTCTTGAGTAGTCATTACGTACCTGGAGATTACCCTCATCATCATCACCATCACTGTAGTCTGTAGCTGGCTGCAAAACGGTAACTGCTTGTTATTTCTTCCCTCGTTGTTTCCAACAGTTGGAAAAATCTTCTGCCATAGCTTTATTACAGGCATCTTGTTCCCTCAATTCTTTCCGACCCACTTGCACCCTTCAAACAGCCTTAGTCTCAGCGTTCAGTGTCACTGCATGGTGCCTAAAATGCTGAGGAAGATGCAAAGGTGCACCGCTGCATCAGGCGGGACCTCTCCCGATCTAATCGATCCCGTCACCATGTCAAGCAGCCGGAGGAGCTCCCCAGCCTGGAAGCTGCTGCCGCCTGCTACGGGCAGCGGCCGGCAGCTGTCAACATCTGGCAGCTCCCCTGCCCTCCGCCCAGGCTGCTCAGTGCACCACCACCGGGGAAGCTGCTGAGGAGGACATCAGCCTCAGCTGGGCCCTGAGCTTTGTTCATCAGCACAAAACACTAATAAGCATTAACTTTTCTGCATAGTGAATAGGTTCTGGTGGTGTGATCAGAGCTTGCTTCGCTGTAGGGAGCCTGTGATCGTCTTTGCAGATGAAACATCACTGGACAAAGTCTCATCTTACCTTGTTTTAAGATGAATATTGTTGTAAAGTAATAATCTCTTGGGTTAAGAAGCTGGCTGCTCTGTTCTTCCTTCCTTCCTCAGCAACACGAGGTCAAAAGATTATTCTTTTTTCATTATTCTTAACCCAATTCTTCAGTGGAAATGGACGCTCTTTGTATTGAATCCATTTATATAATTGCTGCTGCTGGAAAGCTATTTCATGGCCCACAAGAAGTTAGGAAAGCTTGGGTGTTTTCCTTTTTATTGGGGTTTAGGATTTGCTCAGGGGAAGGATGGTGCACAAGTCTGCTGGAGACCTTGTCTTACTGCTGTGCCCATCCCGCTCGATGTACTCTGATACACCGGAGTGACAAAATGAGCATCCTCCCTCCTCACCCGTGTGGGACAGCTCAGCATCGCGCACCTTGCTACGGAGGGTTTTTTCATAGGCTCAGAATATCTGTGCCCCGTCCGTCATCGGACCTCCCTCATTAAAGCTGGGTTTCTCCTGCCTCACCTGATTGCTCCGTGACGGGTGATGGAGCGTCCCGGGGCGATGGCAGCTCTGCTGTGGATAAACACAGAGAAACCCCCAAGCCCCTCCACTTCTGTGCCATGTTGATAGCTGTGAGAAGGCTTCAGATGTGAGCCTTTAAACTCTATTCCTGGCAGCACAGAGCCAAGTTGGATACAAGTAATCTTCTAAAACCTCCCTCCCTGGTTATCAGCCTCCGTTTAGTTGCTTGCACTTTGGACAGCCGGGCAGGGTAGAGCAATAAGACAGTAATGGCTGTAATCGCCTCAGATAACCCTGAGCAGATGGCATTGGGGTTTTCTTCCTCTAGAGTAATTTCCAAGCAGAGCCCCTGAAGACTGAGCTGAAAAGCCTCGCTGAGAGATGGCTCTGTTCCCAGAGTGCCCGTCCCTCCCCGCACAGCCACCCACTCCATCCATCTCACCCATCGATTTTCACCCCCCAAAAGCCACGCGCTGCCTGCAGGCCCACTCGGATGGATGTTGCTGAGGCAGTGAGGGAAAACAAAAGGAAGAAATAAGGTTTTGACTCCCAACACTGAAGGCAATTGTCATATTTTTTCCTTCAAAACCCGAGCAGGAGTTGGCTGGGATCTGTCAAGCTGTGAGTTCTCACACACTTGGTAAATATTTAGGGTCTGATTCACCACTGAATCACTCTGTTATTTTTTTGGCTCTCCTCAGAAGGAAGTGCTCTGTCACTGGGATAACACCAGCCCTCTAAGCTCCTCTCACCTTTGTATTTTAGCATTTCATGCTCATGTGGGCCTGTCCTCCTGGTCCCCCGTCAGGATGGGGAGATGGTGTCACCCCTGCCTGGCAGAGGGACTTGGAGACACGCTGGTCCCGGGGCACCTAAGTTCCCCTCTGACACCAAATCCAAAACTGGTCAAAAGCCCCAGCCATCAGCTGGTGAGCCTCCGGTGTGACATCGAAGGGTCCGCGCGGAGCAGGAGGCGGTACGTGCAGTATTGCAGCCTCTCCCCTGGCACTCGCCATGTCGTAGGTGCCCCTTGGTGCGGGGTGGGTCCTACACCAGCTCCTGCTGCTGCGTGGTGTCGTTCAACAGCTGCTCTGCTTCTGCGTGTCTTGCTATACCTGGGAGAGCTTCTGGGGAGGTGCGAGAGGAGCATATTTCCCTCCAGAGATGACTGCAGTCGGTGTTTTGCACGTACAGATCTCTTCTTTCCTTGCAGGTGGAAGACAGCATGATGGATGTGTACGATTTTGTGTATGAGGAGGTGAGGAGGAACGCCTCTAGCTTCAGGAGGCACGAGCTGACTGCCATCCACGAAGCAGTAAGTTATCTTTCAGCCTTAACAGAAAACCTTGCCCTGGGGTATCTCCCTGACCGTTTTGGAAGGCTGGGGCTGACGCCTTTGCTCTGCCTCATGGATGTTGCAATGCCATTTTCCCTCAGGAACCGAGTCCTCCAGCCTCCTGTGAATTCTGCTCCTCCCCTCCTACTCTTCCTTTCCCAGGTTTGACCACCAGATTATCAACAGGAGGAAAAGGCCACCTGCCTGAGCACCGCTCTGGTGCGATATCTTCAAAGCTTCCATGCTGTAGCTGATATATATTCTGTCTCAGCAGGCCCCCTGCTCTGCTCCCTATCCGTGGTACAAGAATGTGGATATAATCCTCTCTGGTGTCCCCGGTCAGGTGGGGAGAGGGAGGAAATTCCACATTGTCCAGCAGAAGTATTTGGACTTAGTTATTTCTGTTTACCCTTGAGCCTATGGCTGAGGAGTACCGGAGGCTACGTGACCTCTTGCAACGCTGGAGACTGCTAGGAAGCACCCCAAAACCACCAGCCGGGATGCTGCTGGTGCAGGGGACTTCTCTGTAGCTCCGTAGGTGAGCAAGGGTGGTTACCCAGAGCACAGGGAAGACTCTCGCCCTCAAAGCCACAGGAGATGAGTGAGGATGTCCCCTGTGGTGAGAAACTCCCGAGTCCCAGCTGAGTAAAGGAGATGCCATCTCCTCTCACAGCAGGGCCTGTTTGGGTAGTGATTTCGTGGCACAGAGCAGGGCTGGATGAGAACGTCCGCTCTGCTCCCTTGTTTCCAGACACCTCCCGTGCAACACCCTTTATCCTTACGTGTTTTCTTAAATCATCGTAGCAAGTACCTTCTGAAGCTGCTTTCATCCATGCTTCTCAAAGCACAGAAACAGGCAAATATATCTCCTTGCAGCGATGGTGGTGGCCCTCAGAGCCATGGCCAGGCGCGGTGGTGCTTGCTGTGCCGGGCTGTGGAGCAGCACACCCAGAGTCCCGCTTGGCAAGGAGAACCAGGCGCAATACCCAGCTTCATCTGTTGCTTATTTTAGCCACTTGAGAAACAGTCCTTCTACTCCTTTTACTCCTTTTTTTTTTTTTTTTTTTTTTTTTCTCCTTCTGCTGTTGCTCCAAGCTGGCCAGTTCACCCTGGCTATAGCTTCACAGCAGGTGTTGCTGGGGACAGCCCCCCCCCCAGCCCATAACAAGCGCTGGAAACATGAGTCTGTGCCTCCCTGGGTTTTCCAGAGCAGCCACTGTGACCACGCAGGAAGGGTTTGGCCCCAGCCCCAGCCCCAGGCAGCGCTCTTGGAGGAGCACAGGCAAGTTTGGGGCCAGATCCATCCCCCTCCTTCGAATTTAACCTCCATTGCTGCAGCTGCCGACCGCATACCGATGTGCTTCGCCCCTCGCAGCCCTGGTTGCAGAGCCCTGCCTGGGGCAGCAGGGGGGAAAGGTGGCCCATCTCCAGCAGACCTTTCCCTCTCTTCCAGTTCCTGTGCTGCGGGAAGCACTCTCCGTTTGGGGACACGGCCAACGTGGAGGGCAGGACGTGCCCATCTGACCAGGTGGACCACGCGGGACAGGTAAGGGAAAGGTTCCTTCTACCCCACAGTGGGGCTGTGCCGCTACTCACTGACTGTTAAAACCTCACTGGTGTTTAAGTGTTAATGAGAATTGTGGCTTTTTCACAGTTTGGGGTTGCTGCGGGTTGGGTTTTTTTTTGCTTCAATAAGGAGGAGTCTGACCTGCTGGAGGTGCCTTGATGGATCAGCAGGTCTCAGACCTACAGACGCGGTTTCCTTCACGGCTCTAGAAAACCTTCAAAATGCTTGTGTTTGCAGCCTGTCGCTTCCCGCCAGCTTCCTCCTGAGTGTGCAGAGTGTGAGATATCATGGGCATGTACCTAAGCTCAAAAAAGCTGTTGGACTTTTCTACGTGACACTAGTTTCTGAGGCTTAAAAGGTGTCCCGCTAACAGCAAATGTGGAATTTGCTGTGATTCCTTTTCCCCAGGGCTTTAAATGGGTATTAAAATGAGAAACTCAAGAAGAAGGGTGAGGATGCCCAGCAGTAGCTTCATCAAGCACACTTTATTCCTCCTCTTTTCAGTATCTCAGAGAAGTTGATAGATGCCCACCAGTATTAGACCACCTTTGCGCTGCAGCCACAACTTAGTCTTCTTACTCTCTGAGCAAATCTATTGTATGATTATTTTTATTCCACTGGAGTAGCCAAATCAGCTGAGGTAGCTACAGCCTCCAGCATCAATACGTATGTTGTCCCTAGGAAAAACAAAACCATGTTGCTACAGCCATACAAAAACATTGTTGTTAGGGGAAGATGTCAGGCGCTAACAGGATGCCGTGATGCGCAGGCAGGCGTCAGCCCGTGGGGCAACGTTTCAAAGCACTGCCCCCGGGAACGTCACATCTCCAAGCAGGGTTGAACTGGGCTCAGAGAGCAGGAAGGGAGAGCAGAGCAAAACCGGGCACCGTAGGGGTGACTCTGTTCCCCCCTGCCCTGCTAGTGGTTTGCGTTTCCTCCAGTTGTGAGCTGGGGGAGATGGATGAGAGGGTGCATTTTGCAACCTGGAGAACCACAGGGTTTCGTAGCTGCACTACATCCACTCCTGGCTTTGAGCGCTCTTGCCTCACTCTGCAAATCACTTCATCAAGGGCATGCTCTTGCATTTTTGAAATGGCTCTCTTGGCTAACACCTCCTGGATTTCCATGGGGCCGCTGGCATGCTTAAGGCTAATGTATATTAATGTTTGCAACACCTTGCAAAATTGAGCTGTTCATTAGTACCTTCAGGGAACGCGTTTAGCGTTATGTGCTTTGCTTTTCCATCTTCATTTCCCTCTTTCCATTTTCCAGCGGGTGGAAAGAAAAAAGCCTTTGCGTGACCACACTTACCCGTGCACACACACATCCCCGCAGTCTGAAATGCATCGTACCAAGAAAATTGCAGGCCTGTTGTGGTAATAGAAAATATACTGCAGGTGTTTGTCTTCCCAAGCTGCAGCAAGCAGCAGAAAAAACTGAGAGTTGCCCACGGAGCAGGCCAGCTGTGCAATGCTGCGTCCTGCCCTTGTCTCCGTTTCTATTTGGGGTCATGGCAGCGCTGTTGGGGGGATGAAGCCCCCCACCAAGCTGCTGCTGTGCTGCAAGGGGTGTCTCTCTCCCCGCAGGACTGCCTGCGAGAGATCCAGGACTTCCTGAAGAAGCACATGAACTTTGTCTCCACGATCCTGGCTGTCACCATCGGCTTCATGGTAGCAATGTCCGCTCCTTTGCATTTTGGCCCTGAAAGAAAGGCTGCAATGGGGGAGGTGTATCCTAAATTAGCCCCCCAGAAACGAGGATTTCAGATTATTTTGGAGACTGGCAGCAGAGAAACAAGGGGTGGTGGACTCCACCATGGAAATTAAGAAAGGGCCAGGACCTGTCTTGGCCAGGCTGATGGCTGGAGGGGCTTTCCTGCAGAAACAGGCTCGCTGCACAGATTTTGTGTCCAAGCTAGGCATGGCAGCTGGGAGCGGGGAGCAGCGGGAGAGGGCTGCAACAGCATTTGCATTTCATCTGCCCAGGCTTGCCTGCGTGTCTTCTCCTGCAAGAGAGGCCGTGTAGCCTGGCACAGAGCTTGCAGATCAGCTGGGGAGCCAACAGCAATCGTGGAAAAGGAGACGCAGTAAAAGTTGTGTGTTTTAGGCAACTCGCTGCCTCTTCTTGCCCAGCGCTTGCTGGTTGCCTCCCAGCTCAGCCTGGGAAGTTGCTTGGTGTGGCTGGAGCTGGATGGGCTTGAAAGCTTCTGAGCACCAGCGATGGAGCTGGAGAGTTGTGCAGGAAGGGAAGGTCTCATCCTATTAATGACCACTAACGAACCCGGTAAGGTGCGTCTCGGGCAGTGGGTGGGTGAAGCATGGGCTTGTAAGGCACAGGCTGAAAAGGAGAGGAGCGGAGCCTGTTGCCTGGGAAGGATCTTGCAGAGGAGGGCTAGGATCATCTTTGGAGGATGACTTGGGTAGAAAGGGTCCGTACGGAATTTGTGAGTCTTATTTGGGGGAGGACAAAAGTAAAAATGAAACGTTCCGAGAAGAGTGTGTCCTTCAGCAGTGAGGGGGGTGTTTGGTGGCTGCAGGGGGACGGTCCCTTCAGAGCTGGAGAACACCCCCAATAAAAACATCCCTGCTTCTATGCCCACCCACTGCTTGGCAGAGGTGTACAACTGTCATTACCATTACACGTGGGCCCTGCATGTGTGCTGAAGCGTGCCGGGAAAGCGTGCATGCCAGGAGACTCATTTCCTCACCACAAAGGGAGGTTTGGGCTGCTGTGATATCTCCGTGCTGCTCCCCAGCTGGGGCGACCTTTCCCGACTAAATGTGTATTTCTGAGATTGTTTTACTACTTGTGTCCGCCTCGGCACAATTATGGGTTAGAAGAGTCATCTCCATCTAAACAAAACCCAGAGGAACAAACACTTTTGTATTTTATATTGCTAGTAGTAAATTAAGAAGACCATCAGGCATTGCTATGGCACTATAAATGTAAAGTCCGGTGTGAATCATTGGTGTCACTTTCTAATTTTTCTCAGGTATAGGAAGAATTTCACTGCAGCTATATTCAGACAAAAGCGGGAGCATTTTTATTATCTATATCTTTTTTCACAGCTTGATGCTATAGCCAGATAAGGCAGCTGTCTTTGAAGTGTGTGTGAGAGGATGTCTCGCTGCTCGGTTCACTATTGTGATGGCAGGATGCAAAGGAAGCGCGTGATGCGGGCTATAGCTGCTCTGATGTCACTGTCCCTCAGCCAACAATGCACACGTGTCCCCAGGATCAAGCTGCAAGCAAAGGCGCTTGCAACATTAAGGCAGATTTTTAGGAAAGAGCATGTTGTTGCAGCCCTCGTTATCCTTCCCACAGCAGCTTTGCCTTTGATATGTTGCCTGTGTAAATCCTGGTGTGTGATACACCAGGCAGAATATCACAATGCAGAGGAAGTCTGCTGTCCTCCATTTTCACAGCTGTGCACATGCATGGGGCGGGGTTTGGGTATTGTTAGGGCTTTTTGTTTTGTTGGGGTTTTTCACTCCAAACAATACACATGGTTTGGGGTTTTTTCTACCTATATTATTTTTACAAAAGGCTATTACCAGAGAGGTATGTTTGTTTGCATAAGGGTATGTTTTTGTGGCAGGAATTTGAAATCTGAATTTTCTGGTTTCGTCTCATTTCTTGGTATTTTTAGGACCAGGTTTGAGCTGTGCTGTGTTTTGGTTCCAATCCGAGGCTTTAACCGTGTGTTGGGGAGGATTTTGTCCCTTGTTGGGATTAGCGTTCACCATTTTACTGAAAAACAGCTCTCTTAAGAAAAATGTGACAACCTGATACATAAATTCAGAAGTGCCAAGTGGACTAACAGGCAACCCTTAACGATCGCTTATCTGCACAGATGGAGCATCATAATCAGCTCAGAGTTTAATTGTTTGTCTTGTTTCTTTTCTTTTAGGTTTACGGGATGATCCTGACCTCATTCCTCTGGTTCTCCATCCACTTCAGCAGCAACCTGGACCGGAAAGGCAAATACATCCTGCGAGAAAAGTAGGAACCCACTGCCCGGGCACCCCTACCAGGGGGAGGCAGCTCTTGGCGCAGGAAGGTGTCTCAAGTCGCCCACAGAACCCCCCGGGGAGGGGTTGCGTGGGGGCAGGCGGTGGGACGCGTGCCTCGGGTTTCCCCTTTCCTGCCCTACGAGCTGCCGTGCATCCCCCAGCGGGTCGGAGAGGACGATGCTCCGCGGAGGAGCTGCCCCCGCGCCTTCACCGAAAACGGACGAGGACCGAGACGCGCACGGGGGCTCGGACGCGCGGATCGCCTCGCCGGGGGCCGTATGGGCTGTGGCTCCAAGGCAGGCCACAGACAGCCCCTTAGGACACAAATGGGGAGACGAGCCCAGCAAAAATCACAGCATGAAACCAAACTTCTCTTGCGCCGGCGTCTGAGCAGCTCCCTGTGGCCCCCAAAGTTTCTAGGAAGATGGCTTTGGATCACAGCCCAGGACCGATCTGGTGCTATCAGCAAATACACGGACACAAAGTGTGTCATTGCTGATGGGAAATGTGCTCTCCTAGCCCAGACACTCATAGTGGTTGACTTTGGGCACGTTTCGGATCATGCTCAGGTACGTAGGCATCCAATGGCCACTGACTGGTTTGCCCCTGTTTTCAAATACTGCCAGATTTACAGAGCATTTGGTAGAGATCAGGAAAAAAAAAAAACAACAAAACAGAAAGCATGAGCTTTGAAACAAATGACCAGCATAAAGACATATCCCTGTTATTCCTCCTTGCTAATGCAATACACCATTATTTTTTAATTCTTAAGATTTAGTCAACCTCTTAGAGCTTGATGCCACACTGATTTCACAGGTGCTTGTTCAACTTCCAGCCTCAGCCCCGTGTTTATCGAGCTTCACTAACCCACCAGGCTGCTGTGCAATACAAAATGACTTTGTTATTACACATAGACGCGGGACTGAAGATTAAATCTGTAAGAGAACAGGACTGATCTCCAGACAGGTCAGACAATACAATGTCCAACTCCACATCCTCTTTTCATCACCTTGTCAACAATGAACAGAAATTTAAAAAGCCTCAATCAGCTGAAGAACTCAGCTCCTAGTCTAGCTCAAACGATGGATCCCTGGCGTGCTTTGCCCTCATTGCAAGGAGACAGAGCTGCTTCTGAGCTGAAACTCATTATTGCAATAGATTTAGCACCTGCTGGAAAACCTGCTGGAAGCTATGTGGCTATGTGAAATGTCTGTTGAACCTGCAGCAGCCTTCGCCCTTCTCCTCCATTTTAGCCATGAAAACCAGTGAGTAGCAATTGTTTATTATTTAGATAAGCGTGGAAACCCCCATGCAGGAGTTCAGGACAGGTCCTGGCCCTCACGCAGGGGCTGCTGCACGTACCAGAGGAGCACTACAGCCTACAGCACCTGGTTAGCATTTTAGCATGGCTGCAAACACCTTGCATTGGAAAGAATTGCATTGAGGGGGTGGGAAAGGGCTATCACTCCTCAGCCCACTCCCCTTGGAACCAGCAGAGCTTCACCACTGACTTCACTCGAGGCAGGATCAAGTTCAAACTGCTCCAGAGTATTACCCAAGCGACCTCCTGGCAGCCACCAACACGCCTCAGTCTAGCAGGGGTTTAGGGGTGATGTGCACTTGCCGATGTACCTGCTTTCTATCAGTGGGGAAAGTTTCACTTACACGTATATGTGTATTCTTAACTGTATCGCTCTCTGGAGAGAGACGATCTCCCCTGTGAGCTCCAGCTGCTATTGTCCAGGCTGCTGCTATTGTTATTCCTCAGGCCAGCTGGCAGCTCATGTGACTCATGGTTGCTTCAATAAAAATGAATTTCTTGCAAAAGGCTGTCATTCCTTCCCTTTCTGCCGTGCATGAGGCTGCCTGCATTGCTCAGGATTGCGTCATGGAGAGCCCTCAGTAATTCTTTCAGTGCTGGGAAGAGATATTCCCCGGGCAGCTGGCACTGCCCCAGCAGCGTGCCTTAGCACTCAAGAGGGAGAGGATGGCAATGGTTCTTCGGAGGAAAAGGAGCCGCTCATCAGCCTCATCCTACCCTTGAGCAGCTGCTGGGGCAGCAGGCATGTACCTCGCATGGAGTCACGCAAGCAGGGGCAGGAGAACAGCTTAAGGAGACATTTAAGCAATAAAGTATCTATATGAAAGGAATCTGTACGGTTTCACTTTTTTAAACGCTAGGTAGTCGGGTCTTACCCACTGCTCGGTGTTGGCGGGACAACTGATGATGTTCTGCCACACCAAAAAACAAGGGAGATTGAGCAAACCGGTGGCGTGTGTCTTATCAGTGTGGGTTACCTGCTGAAGCCTCAGCAACTCTAACGTCAAGCAGAAAAGATCTCTGGCAAAGCTTCACCACCAAGACTACTAAAGCTTTAGGTGCTCCTCCTTGCCAGGTCAATTTTTGATGTAAAGGGATGCTTAGGGACAGGAGTAGCATATATATGATAAAGAAACCTGACGGGCTGTCGCATCCCTGTCCCCTGGATCCTGCTTCCCTTGAATCGCTTGTGATCCCCAAAACTTCATCGGAAGTAGCGGGCGCCTTTCCAGCACCGGCCGTGTAGCTGTGCGTGTGTGTAGCTGCTGTTTTCACACCTCCGTAACGATTCCTGTGGTGGTGGCAGCAAGGATGAGAACACGACCTGCACCAAACCATCTCACAGGGGGATAACGTGTCTGGAGAGTCGTCGTTACTTCTCCCCAGTAAGCAGCAGCCTGGAAGCATGCAATTTCTTGTCCCTTTCCTTCCTCTGATAGTCAACCGTGGGGTTTAGGAAGATTTTTTTGGTACAAAATACTCCAACGAACTAGAAAAAACCCAAACCCCTTGTTCTGTATGTATGCACCGGCCATCTTGTCACCTTTATTGCCACTTCACCCGCGGCTGGAGTTCCCCTGCAAGGAGCAGCATCTCTAACGAGCGGGTGGGAGAGCAGTGCTCGGCCGGACACGCTCTCCCACCACAGCTCCCGCCGCCCTGCGATGGCATCCCGCCGTCGCTTCCAGCAGCAGGAAAGCAGAGGCCTTCAGCTCCTTGGTTTTCAGAAACCTGTTCCAGAAAAGGGCAGCGTTACCCTTTTGTTCACAGCCGTAGAAACAGCAGCGCCCAGGGATGGCTGGAGGGAAGCTGGGGGGCAGGAGGGTGTTGAGGGGTTGTTTTTTTTTTTTCCGTACCTGTGCCAACAAAAATCCCTGTCCTGCACTCAATGTGCTCGTACCTACTAGTCCTTAATTTGCTGCTTCCTACAGACAAATTACAGCTCTTATTCTACCAGACCACAACCCCAGGAACCTATTTGTAAGCACTGCTGAGATTTACCCGATGCTGAGAAGAGCAGGAGAGAGATTTTGTTGGGCTAAGCACATGGAGTTGAGCAGTGGGGATGCGAAGCCAGCGGCCAGGCTGAGAGACGCCTGCAGAGCCAGTGAGCCTTCCCAGGGCTCGCACAAGTGGATACTGGTTGTTACAAGCATGTCAACACTCAAGCTCTGATAGGAAGCAAATCCCTATTTATGTAGGCATATGTAGAAGAAGAAGAAGAAGAAAAAAAAAAAAAAAAAAGAAGAGAGACTAAAGGTGCAAATTTATATATTTCATTGTGAATTGACTCACATTAATTGTCAATTAAGCTCCAGCAATTTTCAATTAGTTCCACTAAGGTTACCTGAGCAATTGCAGTTTGGCATCTCTGTGGGTATACATTAGCTTGTGCTCATGAGTTACCCTTTTCCTTTTATTTTAGACAAACACCCAGCTCTATCTGAGGACCCGGGAAGAGGGAGCAACCCAAGGCCAGACCCACGGGGCAGAGGGGCATCAGCAAGAAGCCTTTTGTGCTGCTCTCCATCCTTTGCTGCCCACGCACGGCTCAGGTCCTGCTCTGACAGCATGAGCATTAATTTCCCCCCGGGGCTTCACGCAGGGCTCACCGTGTGCCCATGGGTGGCCTGACCACAGCTTGCTAATGAGCCAGGGGAGCTTTCCAGCAGCAGACGCTGCTTTTTCAATGTACTGCTCATGCAGAATCGCAGGTGAGCGGGGCACGGCTTTGCACAGCGGCTGAGGATGCTCAGGGCTTCTGCAAATCAGGTTTTTCAGTACCCAGAAAAAAACCCGCGAAGCTCGGAGCGCTTGTGAAAAGCACAGGTTAAGCAATTTACTGACTCTCTGGAGGGATTTGGTGGCGATGAGAGTGGGGATCTTTCAGTCTCATGGTGAGCTGGCTTGGCTCCAAAATGGTTTGCTATTTCCTGACCTATTGAGTGTGTGTCTGCTAGTTCCCAGCGCCGTTGACACACAACTTCCTCATGCAACAGCCCCTTCGCTGTGCAACTCTGATTCACGCCTGCAGCATACTGCTGAGCAAGTCCTCCCGAAGCCTTGTATATTGGCAAATTTAGGGGGGCCTTTGCAGCACTGGGGTGGTAAAAGAGCCATCTCCTGCCAAGGTAAAGCTGCATTTCTGAGCTGAAGACATAGGAAATATTTTTTGAATAAATACTTCATAGACATTTTTTTTTTTTTTTTTTAAACCACGTGCAGAAGCAATGTGTTTGCAAAAGCAGCTGGCTATAATTCTCTAGAAGCGCAGCCAGAGGATGCTCCACGCGGGAGATCTCCAGCAGCACGACTGAAGGCAGGTAAGGTCAGAACCTGCCTGGATACACAGCCAGATCACACCGTGCCCTGCAACTCTCACATGAGGTGTTGTTGCAGTTCTCTCTTTTGGTAAAATGCTATATTGGGGTAAAAAGAGATTTTTTTTTCTTTTTTTTTTTTTTTTTTCTTAACTGTGTAGTTCCTCTTTTGGGAGGGTGAGCAGCCAGCAGCGAGCATCAACCCTGTCTGCTGGGAGATGTGGCACTGGGTGGGATGGTGGGGGAGAGCGCTGGAGTGAGGCAGTGGAGCCCCGGAGGTGCCTTGGAGGCTGTTTTGGTGAAAACACAGGCAGGGTGTATTTTGCAGCTTTTGGCCATAGCTGCCAAACCCCTGACCGGTTGCAGGCGTGCTGGTGTGGCTGCTCCCCTCCCCGCCGAGCCAGCCCTCTCACCCCCAGCACAAATCCAGTGCTGTCGTTAGGCAACCGGCGTTTTGGGCATCCCTCAAACAAATCAATGCCTGGAGGCAATCTCCATATCTACCCCTGCCAGAAGGGTCGAGAGAAAAAAACAAAACAAAACAAAACAAAACAAAACAAAACAAAACAAAACAAAACATCTTTTTATCTGGAAGAGATACAGGGAGGTCGCTCAGCTTGCAAGGAATCAGCACATCGTGGGAGAAATACTTTCAGCTGAGGTGCCCGCGCTCTGCTAAGACCCTCCTGCCGACCAGATGCCATTCCCTTAGGCTCCAGCAAGCGAAGAGGAAAGGTCTTTCCCAGCATTTTGGCCAGAGAGATGCACATCGTCGTCGCTCTTGCTGGCAGCTGGCTAGCTGGGTTTTTTATATTCTCCCAAGGCAAAATCCCCCCTCTCTCCCCTCAGCATCACTAAGTGCTATTGCTCAACCCCCGTGTGCACCAGCTTGCTCACGGGCGTGCTCGCTTTCTTTTTAGCCCCATTACGTCAGCAATAAGCTATTCCAGTCTTTATTCACCTACTAATGAATTATACATTGATTATACAATAGAAGCTCTCTGCATCGATGGGCTGGGCTCTTGCTCTCCCACATGGCATCTCGCAGAGCGCAGCTAAGCCCAGCTGTGGCTCGGCCCTCTCTGATGCCCGGAGAAATCCCAACGTGTGCTTTCTGGGCTCCTGAGCCGCAGAGCCTGAGCTGAGGAGAGGGAGAGTCTGTGCTGGATGGGGAATCCCACTCAGGTTTGCTCTCCCTCCGCCATGGCTCCGGCGGGAGCCGATGCTGCCCTTCCCCACCACCCCCCCTTCCTTCTCCTCTTTATATAACCTGACCCATCACCATAGATACGTTGACATAAATATTTAAAGATGGCAAAGAGACAGACCACGCAGACGGGAAACATTTGTTCAGTTTATTAGAAACAGAAACTTCAGGTGCAGCCACAGGTCTCTGCTTGCTGCATCCCCCCCCCCCCCAAAGGCTGCGAGGCAAACGCAACCCCCTGGGCTATCACAGTGCTTCGGCTGAATTTGCAGAGCCGGGCACAGGGATTTTTGGATGAGCAGGCACCAGTCATTCCCACTGGGGCACAGAAAAGATATTCTGGAGATGTCCCCTTAGATACATGGATGAGATTCTTAATATTATTTTTTCTACTCAGAGGCATTAGCTGGCTCCCCAGGGGTGCAGGCGGGCTTCTCCCAAGGTGATGGAGCTCTACATTCCCACTGCCATAGACCAGTCCACGCCCTGCAGCTTGCCCTTGCTCAATCCTTGACTTGAAAATCAGTATTGCGGGGGGGTTGGCTGCCTAGGAAGTTATTCTTTTGTGCTCTGGGACTATTGGTCTCCTGCAGGATGTACTTCTGAGCTTCTTTTCATGCATCTCCAAAATGTCCCACTTAAAGATTTTTGGTGATGCTGCTGTTGGTTTTGAGTTTCTTTACCACCACAGGTAAATTGGAAATCCAGGTTATTTCTGCCATATTTTCCACAGAAAATAAGATGTGGTGGTTAAAAGCTAAGTAGGACCTCACAGGTAAAATGACGTGCCTTTTATTCCCACCACTTGTCCATCACTTTTGCGCTGGCTGTGGGGAGGGCAGGGGGATTGCCACGCAGACCCAAGCCGTGCAGCCAGAGTCCCATGCCAGTGGGTATTCTGCGGTCCCCAGCAGACGAGGGACTCCCACCTGCTCTCCCAAATCTCCTGGAGACCTTGGGTGTTAGGTGTTTAGAGCCTGCCTTGGTGCTAACCCTTTCACACCTTGGTCACCAGCTCTCCAGGCATGCGTATGAGGTGGGGACGATGTGGGTCCATCACTTTTCATAAAACACAAGGGTTTTTTTAAGGCGGGGTTGCTGAAAGGCTGGAGGGCATCTCCCAGGGAGAAGCAGGCTCCAGGTCCCGGGGACTGGGTTTGCCAAGTCCTGCTGGTAAGGGACAGCTGCTAAACCCCGGGGCTGGGAAGGCAGCTCAAGCCACATCTGCTCTAACGGACCCTGGTGAGTCATACCTGTACATGTCAGCTCTGTCAAAACCCACAGGCATGACACTGACTTTTATAAACAAGTTCGCAAGAAAAAAACCCCAACAACCCAAGCCCAGCAGACAGAGGAAAAACATTGCAAGCGTCTCTGCTCTCTGCTGCTTCACTGTCTGCAGACCCAACTGCGAAAGGACGTTCAAGTGGGGGCAGGGGGAATTTTTTTATGTGGGGGTTTGGGGCTTTTTTTCTTAATTTTTTTTTTTAGAGTTTACTTTTTTTCTTTCAGTGATGCAAGGCTTGGGAGGTAGGTAGCTGCTTCACAGACCTGCCTGCATCTGGCTGCTCTGGAAACGACTGTGCATTAGCGCGGCGCACTGCTGAGCCCTCGAACCCAGCCCATCCTCCTAAAGAGGGAAGTCATCAGCCCTATTCATAGTGCTTACACTCGATACCGGGATGTGACACCGATACATGAACTGAATTTGTGCAAATTAGTTTTACTTATTTATACAGCAGCATTTTATAAAGAGCTGATAAAGCCACTGAGAGTCTTTGAAATGCAGTTCTGCATTTACAGGCTGTACAGCAAGTAGTACAGCGTAACGAATATACAACATCTGAAATCACATGTAATTTGGGAAACAGTATATATTACCTTGATGCTGTGCTGTGGTGGGGTTTTTTTCTTCCTGTACGTTAAGTTCAAGGTTTCGAAATGTACCCAGCTGAGCTGCTTAAAAATCACCACCAAAAATAAAATGATAATTGGACAAAGCTTGAAATCCCTTTCCACTTCCAAGTTGTGGGGAGGACTTTGGTGGTATGGCCAGATGGGTGAACCCAGTTTAGACTCAGTAGGCTTCAGCCCATAACTGGGAGCTTCCTGATGTAGGAGATGGAGGGTCTGTGCCCGTGGTCTCCCTCCCAGAGCCACATCCATACCTGAGCCCCAGGAGACATGAGCTCCAACACAACCTGGAGGAAGGTCCCAGAAACCGGACTATGTTTGCTCCAAACCAAATTGTTTGCTAAACGTAAGACGAAAAAAGGCAGAAAGCAAGAAAATAAAAGCAACAGTGACCCAAAAAAAAAAAAAAAAAAAAAGCAATCCCGAGCTTCCTAGAGGCAGCTTCAATGCCAACTTTGTGGCAGTGGTTGCAGCTGGGGTTGCCTGTTCTCCAGTGCACAAAAGTTGATTTGAGAATCGTTTTCCTTTGTAGCCAGCGGGGCTGCTGCTGCTGAAGGCCGCCTCGGTTTGCAGCTGGTTCCTTCCTCTCCCTCGCACACTCTCCAAGCGATTCCTCCGAGAGTTTTTCTGGAAACAGCCCCCTAAGTGCACGAGAGGCTCCTTGGTGCGTGCATCCTCCTGTCTCCAACCTCTCCGTTTGCTTGGCAGGGAGGAGAGTATTTTTGTTGCAATATTTATAGCTGGAAGGGGCGAAGGTGCAGAACAGAAGATGCTGTGGGATGGTATGGTGTAGCAAGTGAGCAGCTTTGGGAGCCTGCTGTTATCCCTCGGATTGATGAACAGGAGCCACACAGGGTTATGGCTACTACTGTAACCAGATGGGTCATACAGATAATTTGGGGTAGTGGTTACATGCATAAAAGGCCTTGTGAACCTCTGGCTTCGTTGGGAAAGCTGGCTGAGTGAACGTGGCTTAGAGACAAAGGGTTTATGCATCCATGGCAAGCCTGCAATCGGGGACGTACTCAGCATAAGTAGTTGGGGAACGGGGCCAACTTCTATTTATCGCCGGTCCCTGCCACGGCGGAGGGCTGTGGGCTGCTACTGAGGGGCAAAGAAGGGCTTGGAGAACACAAGGGAGCCCCAGACCAGCTCATCCCCGAGGGCAATGGGATGATTTGGGAACAAGTTGACTCATTTTCAGCGTAGATGTGTAGGAACCACGTTAGCTCTTAGCTAACAGTGCATTCCTGCTTACGGGACGCGTGGCAGGGAAGGCTCCACTGAGTGGGAAAATGTTTGGCTGAGAAGCTGCTCCCTGAAATGCTTTTGCCAGAGGGAAGTGCCCAGGCAGAAGGAGGGCGGGTTTCCACGTACAACACTGCAAACCAAGTGCCAAGTGCCTATTTACCATGGTAAGGTCCTGACCTTTGCTGGAGCTGCTAGCTGCTGCCTTTAGCAGAAGTCTTTTTACTCTCTGACTGTATGACTTACTATCCCGTCCCCAGAAGAAGCGAATGAGCTCGCTGGAAGCAAAACGTGGGGTGAGAGCAATTTGTATTTCTAGACATGAACAAGTGGGGCAAAATGAGTTCCAGCCAAAAGGTTGGGAAATTTCATCGTGCTTCTGTTGCACAACTTTAGTATTTTTAACAAAAATTTAACTAAAATTTCTAAGCCATAACGTGAGGCTTACTTGAGCTGCTGATGTGTGTGACCCAAATCTCTTTGGTGGGCAGCTCCGTAGCCCCCCAGATGCTCGTTCAACCCAGTAACTGAGGGAAAACTTCCCGATGGTTCTACTGGACTTGATACAGTTGCTTGCAGTGATAAAGCCACAAGCTTAGGCAAAAAGTGTTTGGCAGATCGGAGCTTATGATAAAACAGGAGGAGGAAACGAATTAGTATATGCTTTTCCGAATTTCAAACTGCAAGTTTGAGTGTAAAAATCCTTTTCTTTTTTTTTTTTTTTTTTTTTTGTGGGGAGAGGGGTTCCTGCATGGATGCACCCTAAAACTTCTGTATATAGAAATACAAATCCTGCTGCATCCTGCACCCATTCACAGCAGCTTCTCCCTGGACTGCCTGGTGAGGATTAGGGGACAGAGGGGAGGTTGAAGGGATGGTGGTCAGGTTTAGGCGCTGGTGGTGGTACAGCCCCCCAACACCTGTCCTCACGGCTCCCACTTGCATGTAAGAAGTTCTCTGTTGCGATCTGCCCCTGAGGGTAGGAAAATGAGGAGAAAAAGGGGAAGACAAACAAACAAAAGCAGAAAAAAAAAAAAAAGGAAAAAAGGAAAAAAAAAATAAAAAAAAAAAAAAGAAAAAGGAAAAAAGAGGTAGGGGAAAAGAGAAAGGAGAAAAGGGGGGGAAGAGAAAATAAAAAAGGTAAAAAGAAAAAAGTGAGAAAGATGATGGAAAAAAGAGAAAGGGAAAAAATAAAAAGTGAAGAAAGAAAAAAGGAAGAAGGGAGAAGGGAAAAGAAAATAGGGGGAAGAAAAAATGGAAAAAAATGAAGACAAAGGGGGGGAGATAATAGGAAAAGGAGAAAGGGAAAAAAGGAAAAATGAAGAAAGAAAAAAGGAAGAAGTGAAAATAGGGGGAAGAAAAAATGAAAAAAAAAAAGGGGGGGGAAGAGAGAAAAAGGGAAAAAAAGGGGGAAGGAAATAAGAAAAATAAAAAAGGGGGAAGGTAAAGGAAAAGAAAAGAAACAAATAGGGGAAGAAAAAGCAGAGAGCCCCAGGTTTCGGGGGGTGGGGGTCCCGACCCCCCGGCGCGGGCGGCGGGGCGAGCGGGGGCGTGCCCGGGGGCGGGGCGCCGGCCGCGGGGGGCGTGTCGGGGGCGGGGCGTGCCGGGGGCGGGGGCGTGTCCGGGGGCGGGGCGTGCTCTCTCCGCCCGCGCCGCCGCCGCCGCCGCCCGGCAGCTGAGATCGAGCGGAGGAGCCGCCGCCGCCGCCGCCGCCATGGGGGTGGAGGGCTGCACCAAGTGCATCAAATACCTCCTCTTCGTCTTCAACTTCATCTTCTGGGTGAGCCCCGGGCGGCGGGGGGGGGGGGCCGGGGGCGGCTGAGCCGCCCCAGCGCTTGAAATAACGGGGCTCCAATATGGCTCGTCCGCCTGCGCCTGGCTCTAACCTCTTTCCCGCCCCCCCAGCATTAAGATTTGCTGAGATATGCCTTAGGGGTTGCTTTTTGTTTTTTTGGGTTTTTTTTGGAGGGTTGGGGAGCTGCTTATCCTTTGTTTTGCTTTTTTTTTTTTTAATGCAGGCATATATATTTATTTATTGTCCCATGTATATCTATTTATATGTATTTTTATATAGAGAGAGACAGAAATGTTTATATGCCTCCTTCCCAAGAAGAAGGGCAGGGGGTGCCTTGCTCCTGCGGGGAGCGGGGGGCAAAGCTGGGGTGGGGTGGGGGGCTGCTCCCGGTTGCTGTGGGTCTGTGCTGGGAAAGCGGAGGAGCGAGGGAGGGAGAGAAAGATGCTGCCAGGCGGAGGGAGCAGAGGCGCTGGCCCAGCCGCCTGCCACAGAGGAGCCGGGGGGGGGAGAGGGTGCTCCAAAAATACGGGCGATGGGGGCTGGTTTTGCTGTGGGTGCCCCGGGAGCTGGCGGGGAGTGGTTGGGACTCTGGCACTGTGTCAGGATCTGGCCTCGACACCCGCCTTTGGGCTGGGGATTGCTGCCTCCTGGGAGGTTATTTTAAGATGCAAATTTTAGCCAGGCTGGAGAGGTTGCCTTTCCTGAGAAAAGTTTCTCATGAAACCATCCGTCCAGACACGCGGCTAATTTAGCGAAAAGCGATATATCCCGGTTTCCCTGCAAATTGGGTTTGTCCTGGTTAGAAACACCCTCCAGCAGCGAGGGGCTGGCATGGCAAGAAATGCTCTCTCCCTGCTCCGGTGCCTGGCAGCTACGAAATGTACCCAAGCAGGCTCCTCTTTTTTTTTTTTTTTTTTAATTTATTTTTTTAAATAGGCTATTCTCCATTCCCCAAAATCCTATTTTTCTCCCAAGCAAGGCCAGCCCCACCCCACCCCGCAGCGGTGAGGCACCTCTGGCTGAGCAAACCGTGATCAGGATGCGCCCCTGGTCCGACACCCTGCGTTGTTGATGAGGAATTTGTTGTGTTTTTTCTTTTTTTTTTCAGAATGTTTGTTTACAGCGGCGAACGCAGCGAGGCGGGCTGGCGGGGGTGGGAAGGGAGCAATGCCTTCCAGAGCAAAACCTGCTGGAGCCTCCGCCGGCCACCTTCCCCCCCCTGGGGTGCACGGCGAGGCTCCTGGGGGGGTCCCCACCTCTGGGAGGTGCCGGGCACGAGCGCTGTCAAACCCGGTCTCATTTCAGGCCTTTTTGCCTTGTTTCTGGGTATCGCACTGACCAAGGGAGAGATGACGCCCGCAGTGTTAATTGATACCTGATGGGCTGCCAGCTGCGAGATGAATGCGGGGCAGTCTGGTTTGTTGGTTTGTTTTTTGGTTTGTTTGTTTTTGTTGGGTTTTTTTGTTGTTGTTGTTGTTGGTTTTTTTTGTTGTTTTTTTTTTTTTTTTTTTTTTGTTTTTTGGGGTTTTTTAAACCTCTTCCTCCACCCTTAAAACGACAGGATGGAGGCGGGTAGGCTCTTCTCTGAAGTGTTGTTCCTTCCAAGTTATCGCACTTCTCCTGGGGATTTTTCTTCCCTTCTAGTCCCAATTTCCTGCCATTCATGTCGCTACCGCCCCCCGGGGTGGATGTGAGGGAGGAAGGGTCTCCTGGGCGGCAGGAAGGATGCTGGGGGCTCTGCTTGCTCGCTCACCCCAGTCTGTGTTTGCAAAACGGCTTATTTTTTATAGATGGGTATTTTGCTTCCAATAGGAACAGCCAATCTGTTTAATTTCCATGTTAGGACTTCTGATGCCTTGCCCGGCTCCTTGGAGGGAGCCTGATGCCTGCTCCTTGTGAGGATTGGAGGGAGATGCTCCAGCTCCTCCCAGGGAGGGATGCCCGTGAGCTGGGACCCACCAGCTCCCCAAAACACCTCCCAGCCCAGGCTGACCCACAACCAGTCCCCTCAGCCCACCTCCTGTGCAGATGGGGAGCCTGGACTCGGTTAGAATTAACGCTTTCAGTGAGGCTGGACAGCTGGAAGCGTGGTTGAACACCAAGTTTGGCAGTTTTCAAGCCTTTTTGTGTTGTCTTTTAAACTGGTAGGCACGGGGAATTCTAGGTTTACCACCAAGCGAACGCGGTTAGCAGCCAACCTCACGTCCCCAGCTGGGGAGGGGTGCCTGGCTTGCCACTGAAGTGTGAAGGTCCTTCTCGTGGGTTGGACGTGGTGGGGAGCAGCCTTGCTGCAGGGTGGCCGTGTCGGGACCCCAGGGAGGTGCAGGACGGGGCACTCGCAGCCCCGTGGCCCTGCCAGCTCGTTAGCATGCAAGGGCTCCCCGCGCTCATTTGCTTATCGTGCTGCACGGAAGCTTCCTCCAGTGCCCGAGGTGAAGAAAGGAAGCAATTCTCATCCTTAACGGTGTTAACAAATAATAAAGAAACTCTGATAACTTTCTAAAGGAGTCCTGCTGGAGCGTAAATAAACGGACACCCCTCTGGCTTCCTCCCCCTTCCTTCCCCTGGCAGTGCAGGGGGAGTTTCACAAAGCTGCTGTGTTGAAAAGCAAAAGGAAAACGCAGCCCCGCTGCCAGCTCCCCAGGGCGCCTCGGCAGCCCTCTCTGCCCAAGATGTCTCAGTTTTATTTTATTTTCTGGGGTTGTTTTTCCTTTGTGCGTGCATTTTTGAGAAGAAGATGCCAGGGTTATGTGCTCGGTCCAGGGTGGCTCTCGAGGAGGGAGCAGCAGCTTCTGCAGCCCCCGCGCAGTAAACGGCTGGACTTTGACTGCTCTCCTGAATTACCTGAATCCGATAGCAGAGCTCATCGCATGGGGCTGAACTGACCACCATTGCAAAGAGTCCCTGGAGAGGCTGAAGGAAGCCAGAGAGCTATTTTAAAATATACTTAAACATAACCAAGGAGAAATTGGCTTTCTCGGAGAAGGATTGCCCAGCTTATTAGCTAATACAGCCCGTGGCAGCCTTCCAGCTCTAGCGCAGCACTGACTGCCCTACCAGAGAGGTGTCTAATTAAAAGGAAGAGCTTGCTCCTAATTCTATTTTCCAGGCACCGCATAACTCTTTTTCTCTTGCTTGTGTTGAGGGGATGTGGTGCAGTCAGGGTGCAAAGGGGAGGAAGGGCAAGAGCAGAGGGAAGGTGGAAGTGAAAGTCTGTCTCGACAGTGGTGATTGGAAGGGAAGGGATGGAGGAGTTGAGTATTTTCTTGTGCAATGCTGGAAAATCTGTCGGCTGTACCCTGGAGTCCACAAAGCGTGCGCAAAGGTATTTGGCTTTGGTGACGAGAGGTGACAGTGGCGGGAGGTGGCAGCTCTCTGTGGTGGTGGTCCCACGGTGGCAACTCTGCTGAATGCCTCATGACCCTCCCGATACGACGGTGAGGGCGGCTGGGTACCGCTATTCCCAGGTTTAAATGGGAGAGCTGGTAGTTCGTGCGGCACGCAGCTCTGAAGCACAGGTTTGAAATAACTCCCTGGACTCACAAAGCAGATTGCGTTTTTTTTTTTTCGGGTGCGGGCTTGCGCTGAGCACTGCTGAAATGCTGTTAGCAACGGTGGCTTGCAGGCTGCAACGCTGCAGAGCCCCAGGGTTTGGCTACTGGTCTCCCTGGGAATGGCAGAGAGCCTTGCGAGCAGCGAGGATGTGACGCTGGCCTGGTATCTCCTTCCACTGACTTTGGGTTCAGTATCCTGGGACGACGTAGAGGCAAGCGTGTTTCCACGTGTGTTTGACCCCGCAGCTGTTTAATGCCTGTCTTTGAAAGGCAGTGGAGAGGTTTTCTTAGCAGGCTCAGTACCTGGACCCAAGCTTTCCTGCTGGTGGCTCTCCGGGCTGTGTTTCTGGGCTCTCTGTCAAGGGAACATAGTCCTACCATCACCTAGAAAACCTTTTCTGCAGTCTCTGCGTGCAGAAGGTTATTTAAGCAGGTCTTTTGAAGGGACCACTGCTCTGCCCTGTGGGGGTTCCCGATTGTGGTTGATGGGTTGGCTTACAATCACAAGGAAAGAGCATCAACTGGCTGGAGGGAGAATTGCTCCGTTTTCCTGAGGTTATTCTATCAACCACTGTAGTGCTTATCTCCTGCAAGAGCATTAACCCGTGTATGGTGCCTTAAGAAACACTTTGATCCTGTACTGTGCAAGTACCTTGCACCGTATTATTAAAAAGGGAAAGCAGTTGTATTACCATTGTAGTTTAATGCTTATGTACGGGGCCAAATTAATTTTAAAGCAATATCCAAAATTGTTTTCCTCTCTGCCGATTAAACCTTGCTGGTAGATGTCAACGTACAGCGATACCTCTCTCCGCAGCGGGGATCGGGCTCTGTGCTCCCGGTCAGAGGACCCCACTCCTGGCTTTTTGGTGCCGGATTCCCACGCTCCTCCCATCCCTCAGGCTTTATTTGGCCTCTGGCATGCTGCTCCTCCCGCAGTGTTCCTCTGCAGCTTGTTTTGAAAAGCCCCACAGTGTTTTGGGGCTGGTAACTATAGGCACCAGCGGGGAATTCCGCCCCGGCCGGCGGCTCTGTTAATAACTGCTGCTGGATGGTGATGGCAGCAAGAAGTCTTGTGACGGTTCTGATGTGGTGGTGCTCCGGGGCGTCCCACAGCCCACCCCGACAAGCAGCCCAGGGGCAATCTGTAGCGCTTCTCACCTTAAACTTCTAAGTGAATTTTTGGCATGAAGTCCCGCCATCATAACATGAAGACCGTCGCAGCATCAAACCAAAGTTCCCCGTTTCCTGGGCTGCCGTTCAGCTCTCGGCCCCTGGCTGCACCCGGAGCCCTTTCAGCGCTTCTGCAGGGCCTGTTTATCTGCAGTGGAAAAGAAATTCAACTTTTGCTTTCCAGGAAGCGAGGTGCAGGGTGCGGGCAGGCTCGGCGCTGCTTGTACGCCTGTGCCTGCCACCAACAGCCACGTGCTC